TCACTGGTAGCTGTAAAGTTAACAATGTTTCATGGGTAGCTGTAAAGTTAACAATGTGTCACTGGTAGCAGTAAAGTTAACAATGTGTCACTGGTAGTAGTAAAGTTAACAATGTGTTACTGGTAGTAGTAAAGTTAACAATGTGTCACTGGTAGTAGTAGAGTTAACAATGTGTTACTGGTAGTAGTAAAGTTAACAATGTGTCACTGGTAGCAGTAAAGTTAACAATGTGTCACTGGTGGTAGTAAAGTTAACAATGTGTCACTGGTAGCAGTAAAGTTAACAATGTGCCACTGGTAGCAGTAAAGTTAACAATGTGTCACTGGTAGTAGTAAAGTTAACAGTGTGTCACTGGTAGTAGTAAAGTTAACAATGTGTCACTGGTAGCAGTAAAGTTAACAATGTGTCACTGGTAGCTGTAAAGTTAACAATGTGTCACTGGTAGCAGTAAAGTTAACAATGTTACACTGGTAGTAGTAAAGTTAACAATTTGTCACTGGTAGCTGTAAAGTTAACAATTTGTCACTGGTAGCTGTAAAGTAAACAATGTTACACTGGAAGCAGTAAAGTTAAAAATGCTTCACTGTTAGCCATTACATTAACAGCATATCACTAGAACCTGTAATATGATGAAATGCACATACCTTGAGTTGGAAATATGGAATGTTCTGTCCATGAATACCATCTGTGTGACTAGTTAAAGGTATTGTACATCAAGGTTTATCCAGAGAGCCATGAACCCATGTTTGATGTTCACTGCACATAGAGTAGCCGGGTGTGAAATAGCATTTAGCCATCCATCTATGAAAACAGCAGCGCAACTACCACTGCAGTAGAGAGCTTAGACATAGTCGCATAGAGATCATCATAAATACCTGGCCATGCTCACTCTTCATCTGTAGTAACCATGACAACACATCAGCATATTGCTGCATGGTGATCCAGTTGCTTAGCAATTATTGCTTAATTTGTTTTGCAAGAAGATTGAAATTTGTAACACACTGACCAGAATGACATATATGAATGCTATATACGTGGGTGTGATACATGTTGTATCCTGTATATAGTGAAGGTGCTGTATACTGGGTGATGATATGCTATTTACAGTGAAGTATAGGAGTGATACAAGGCTATAAACTAGGTGCAGTGTAGGTGCTGTATACAGGGTGATAAGGTGTTGTATATATTGAACATTGCAGTGATACAAGTCTGTATACTATGTGTAGTGAAGGTGCTGTATACTGGGTGATGATATGCTATTTACAGTGAAGTATAGGAGTAAATACAAGGCTATAAACTAGGTGCAGTGTAGGTGCTGTATACAGGGTGATAAGGTGGTGTATATATTGAACATTGCAGTGATACAAGTCTGTATACTATGTGTAGTGAAGGTGCTGTATACTGGGTGATGATATGCTATTTACAGTGAAGTATAGGAGTGATACAAGGCTATAAACTAGGTGCAGTGTAGGTACTGTATACAGGGTGATAAGGTGGTGTATATATTGAACATTGCCCTGATACAAGTCTGTATACTATGTGTAGTGAAGGTGCTGTATACTGGGTGATGATATGCTATTTACAGTGAAGTATAGGAGTGATACAAGGCTATAAACTAGGTGCAGTGTAGGTACTGTATACAGGGTGATAAGGTGGTGTATATATTGAACATTGCCCTGATACAAGTCTGTATACTATGTGTAGTGAAGGTGCTGTATACTGGGTGATGATATGCTATTTACAGTGAAGTATAGGAGTGATACAAGGCTATAAACTAGGTGCAGTGTAGGTGCTGTATACAGGGTGATAAGGTGGTTTATATATTGAACATTGCCCTGATACAAGTCTGTATACTATGTGTAGTGAAGGACCGCCTCCGTGGTGTAGTGGTTAGAGCATCCGCCCGGAGTGCGGAAGGTCGCGGGTTCGATCCCCGACCGCGTCATACCAAAAGACATTAAAATATGGTACTTGTTGGTCCCTGCCTGGCGCTCGGCATTAATGGGTACAACAAGGACTGGTCGGCTCGGAGTCAGTATAATGTGTCTGAGTGGGGTATTCATGCTTCACTGCGGCATGGTATCTCAGTGGGCTAGCACTATAAAACCAGCTTCAGTCTGGGGTAGTACAAGCAGCCGCACCTACACATACACACGCATACACGTCGTCATATGAGCGAAATATTCTCAAGCCCGACGTTAAACCCAATTCCACCACCACCATGTATAGTGAAGGTGCTGTATACTGGGTGATGATATGCTATTTACAGTGAACTATAGGAGTGATACAAGGCTATAAACTAGGTGCAGTGTAGGTACTGTATACAGGGTGATAAGGTGGTGTATATATTGAACATTGCAGTGATACAAGTCTGTATACTATGTGTAGTGAAGGTGCTGTATACTGGGTGATGATATGCTATTTACAGTGAAGTATAGGAGTGATACAAGGCTATAAACTAGGTGCAGTGTAGGTACTGTATACAGGGTGATAAGGTGGTTTATATATTGAACATTGCCCTGATACAAGTCTGTATACTATGTGTAGTGAAGGTGCTGTATACTGGGTGATGATATGCTATTTACAGTGAAGTATAGGAGTTGATACAAGGCTATAAACTAGGTGCAGTGTAGGTGCTGTATACAGGGTGATAAGGTGGTGTATATATTGAACATTGCCCAAGTGATACAAGTGTGTAGTGAAGGTGCTGTATATGGTAAGTGAATGTGCTGTATACAGTGGTATAGTGTAAACTGATAGGGTGCATGTAAATATACATATATATATATGTTGATGTATATATCATATATATGTGTGTAGTGAGGTGCTGTACAATGGGTGATAATACTGCTGATTTATAGTAAAAACAGATGCATGTAGGTATGTAGTGATAAATGGCTATAATTGAAACAGGTGCAAGTGTATATACTAGTTGATGAGGTGCTGTATACTATATGAGGTGGTAAACAGATGTGTGATACAAGGCTGTATATACAGTGAAAGTGCTGTATACTAGGTGATGAGGTGAAATATATAAACAGATGTGTGATACATGTGTGAGTAGAAAGTGCTGTATACTAGATGTGAGGTGAATATAGGTAAACAGATGTATGATAGAAGGCTGTATGCTAGTTGATGAGGTGCAATATATACCGGTAAACAGATGTGTGATAGAAGGCTGTATATCATATGTAGTGAAGGTGCTGTATACTAGTTGATGAGGTGCAATATATACCGGTAAACAGATGTGTGATAGAAGGCTGTATATCATATGTAGTGAAGGTGCTGTATACTAGTTGATGAGGTGCAATGCTGTATACTGGGTGATGAGCTGCAATATAGTGTACGTGCTGTATAAACAGATATGTGATACAAACAGCTGTGGATACAGATGTGCTGATATACTGGTTGATGAGGTGCTATATATAAACAGATGTGTGATAGTGTATATACATGTATAGTGCTGTATACTGGGTGATGAGGTGCTATATATAAGCGATGTAAACAGATGTGTGATACAAGGCTGTATATACATATATAGTGAAGGTGCTGTATACTAGTTGATGAGGTGCAATATATACCGGTAAACAGATGTGTGATACAAGGCTGTATATACATTTATAGTGAAGGTGCTGTATACTGGGTGATGAGGTGCTATATATAAACAGATGTGTGATACAAGGCTGTATATACATGTATAGTGGAGGTGCTGTATACTAGTTGATGAGGTGCTATATATAAACACATATGTGATACAAGGCTGTATATACATTTATAGTGTAGGTGCTGTATACTGGGTGATGAGGTGCTATATATAAACAGATGTGTGATACAAGGCTGTATATACATGTATAGTGAAGGTGCTGTATACTAGGTGATGAGGTGCTATATATAAACAGATGTGTGATACAAGGCTGTATATACATGTATAGTGGAGGTGCTGTATACTGGGTGATGAGGTGCTATGTATATAAACAGATGTGTGATACAAGGCTGTATATACATGTATATGAGGGTGCTGGAGTGTGTGCTGTATACTAGTATAGTAGGTGCTGTATACTGGGTGATGAGGTGCTATGTATATAAACAGATGTGTGATACAAGGCTGTATATACATGTATAATGGAGGTGCTGTATACTGGGTGATGAGGTGCTATATATAAACAGATGTGTGATACAAGGCTGTATATACATGTATAGTGGAGGTGCTGTATACTGGGTGATGAGGTGCTATATATAAACAGATGTGTGATACAAGGCTGTATATACATGTATAGTGGAGGTGCTGTATACTGGGTGATGAGGTGCTATATATAAACAGATATGTGATACAAGGCTGTATATACATGTATAGTGGAGGTGCTGTATACTGGGTGATGAGGTGCTATATATAAACAGATATGTGATATAAGGCTGTATATATAGTGAAGGTGTTGTATACTGAGTGAAAAGGTGCCGTATGTAAACATGTGTGGTACAAGGCTATACACCACTATACACAGATATGTGATACAAGACTATATATATAGTGAAGGTGCTGTATATAAACAGATGTGTGATACATGGCTATATATCATATGTAGTGGAGGTGCTGTTTACTGGGTGATGGGGTACTATATGTAACTTGGTTTGGGATTTATATTAGTTTGTAAAAAACTACAGTTATGGAATCCAGAGATCCAATCGTATGTTACAGTTATGTGGAAAGTGAGTATTCGATGACACCTTGTGATAAAAATGTTTCAAAATTCAGAGCTTAATTTAACTTGGTAAAATAGTGATTAACAAATGAAATCCTGAGAATTGTTTGAGGTAATAACAAATAAATATCTATTTGTTTATTTATTCCATTTATTTTTCACCCTGCTAAAAAGACTAATAATTTACTGAATACCATTAATTTATTGGAAGGCATATTGAAAAACTGTTTGAGAAAATCGTGAAATTTATATGTCAGTGATACGACAGATTTGTTTATACATTTTCTCTCTCCATTTCAGTGGCCGTCATGTAACCTTCATCGGTGTCAGTCGTCACAAACGACCCGTCTCCATGACAACCTCACCCCCAGTCTCCCCCCACAAACAAGCCAAGTGCTGGTCCCCACCCCCAACTGCCCCACCCCGCCTTCATGGGGTCATGTGTTCACTTTCCCTTCCAGCTCCCCTCCCCCGGGACACAATTGCCCCCTCCTCCTCCCCGACACCTCACCGCAACTCCACGTCGCCTGTCCGAGTCGCTGTTCCCGTCATCAACCCCATCATCAACCGCCGATCCTCCGACTCCGATCTCAGTTCACCACCCCGTGGTGAGTAGCTTTGATAATTAATGTTAGATTTCCACTGTTTCTTATCGGCAGATTTCTTTTTATTCTCAGCTTTATTTTATAAATTTTCAAATTTGTAGAAATTTAGTGATTTCTACTAACAGGGTCTCTTTCCACTATGCCTTCTTAGTACTATGACTATTTCTGCTATTTGACTTAGACATACAACAGTCGTACCTGACAATCTCTTGGGCACTGGCTCATTAAGTGACCCCCAAATCTTAGGGTTGCAGCACGAATCGCCTGACTTTCATTCTTAGACTGGGGCGATGGCGTAGCCTAGTGGTTAAAGCGTTCACTCGTCCCGTCGAAGACCCCGGGTTCGATTCCCCACATGGGTACACTGTGTGAAGCCCATTTCTGGTGTCCCACGTCCTGATATTGCTGGAATATTGCTAAAAGCAGTGTAAAGCTAAACACATTCACTCATTCTTATACTACTCCCAAAAAGGTAAGGATTGTCCAATTCTTTCATGTTATTATAGTTAATCTGACTTTGCATGAAATATAACAATAGCAAAATGACAAAAATGGTGTTGTCCTCCACTTTTTTATACTTTGGTACATGGTTGTACCATGCTTGTGGATCTCACCAACATTTCAAGTTGTCCAGCTCTGACCATCATCATTATTATCTCATGTGAAGCTAACTTCTTGTGATAATCTGTAGTGCTGTTCATGGCGGCATTAAACACAGCATCCTTGATCATGCTCTGATATATAGGTTTACAATCTGCTGATACAGGCAGTTTAAGCTGTAATTAATTTATTGTCATCTTCCTGTGAAGTGTATTATGAACAAGACCATCATGGACCATTAATGTATTGGAGATATTTTTATATAATTGTGCACACAGTCATCATTCAGAAAAATATCCCCAAAAATATTCAGAGACCCAGATAAGCTGCGTATCCGGGTAAAATACGCATAGAAAATTTCCAATTACGCATTGAAAAATAATTATTGCGTACCAATTACGCATTTAAAATGTTAGATACACAAAAAGTTTAAAACAAATGCGTACAGAGTATATTTATAAAAATCGATTGCGTAATGAAAAAGACATCGATTGGTATCAAGTTGTACTGTTAGTATAGGTCTAGTGTTGTACTGTCAGTATAGTATGAGTGATTTTTTATGAAATCATTTCCATTATATTTAAGTTGGTTTTGATTAGGTATGACATAAGGCAGAACATACCTGCTTAGTAAACTTACTCAATGACATAATACTTAGGTGAGTAAAATGACTGAAATACGCACATATTTAAAAGCAGTGGGTAACGGAAAATGAAATACCCACTCAACATTCATAATACCCACTCCAAAAAAATACAGTGGGTACAGTACCCACATGAGCTGAATCTTATCTGGAGCTCTGAATATTTGTGATTCCTATCTTTATGTTTTCAGTATATATGCTGCTAGATTCTTGTGTCACTGAAGTGACATGAACAATGCTATAGTTTGTTTATATCAAAATGTATTGTATGAAATGAAGATTTGTAATTCTGGTTGAAGCCATTATTACTATAACCTGCTACAGCCATCTGTTCAGTGTGTTTGTTGAAGGCTGTGAGATGTTTCCGATCTTATGTGGTATTGTAAGGGCAAACTGAGAAAACCAATTTCATTAAGCATTTATTGAAACAAAGACCATTCAGATCATGAAAATGCAATTTTTGAACGAATAATGACACAATATAAATTTGATGAATTCTTGTCAAATAATCATGTTCCAACAAATATTCTTAAGTAAACGTTGAAAATTTGAAAACTAAAATCTTGGTTTAATAACTCACTCAAAGTTCCTTCATTTCTCTTCCACTTTCCAAAGTCACAACATTTAGTTTTTTAGGCACAATTTTTAGCATAGGAAACATAGGATCAGATTATGGAGCAATTAAGCAATCAGAAGTAAGGGGTCGGGTACGAGAATCCTTTTTTTTAACTTAATGACCTCCTGAATATTAATTATTTATGTATTAAATTATATTTTTGTCCAGACATATCAGCAAACCAGTATTGTTACTCAAAGCGTAGGATAACTTTATGATAGGTTTGGGGCAATCAAGCAAACAAAGATAAGAGGTTGAGTACAAGGGTCCATTCTTTCACATAATTGGGCTGAAGGGGTCGTTGTCGGCACGGGTACTACAGATATGTACCCCAGGTACGTTTCTGTATACAGAAACGTCCCCTGGCCATAATGAGAATACAGAAACGTACCCTAGGACGATTCCATTCCCATTGTGTCGTATTCTTGATCGGAACTGTCATGCTGTTGTATTAGATACATTTGATTGCTTTATGTAAGTAATGAGAATACACAGTAATGGATATTTCGCGATGCATATGAATACCACTCGCAAATCAGTTGAACGGGAACAACTACATGCGTTTTCGGTTTTGGATTGAGGAATATGGACTCGTCCGCCTTTTAGGGTACCGGGTACGTTTCTGTATTTTGACTTTGTTTAGGGTACATATCTGTATACAGAAGCTTACCTAATACGTACGTATCTGTAGTACCTGTGCCGACAATGACCCTTTCAGCCATAATGGCCTCATGAATATCAATTATTTGTGTATTAATGTCGAGAAATATCAGCAAACCATTATTGTCACTCAAAGATACCATGTTGTCTTCTGGCAGATAATATCAATTGATAATTGAGGTCATGGGATCAATATTCCAGGGCAATGTCAGCAACAAATTTTAACCCTGTTTTTGGAGGGTCAGTTTCTGTTGCCTGTATGTCATTGGTTTTCTCAGGTCAACCTGTTGTTGAGTGTTATGCTGTTGTTGAAACGCAATATTCTTACATGTGATATCGTTACCCACTATGTATTCTTCACATATATATTCCCTCCAATATGGTGTTAAGTGTAGTTAATTTGATGTTCCGTCTGTAGAGGTTGAGTTTCGAACATCGAAAGAGCGTCGATTCTTGAAGAGGAGTAAGTATTATGTGGTGTATAGCATGGACTGAGGTTTGCTTAGACAGTGTGTGTATCGTCTTAAAACATTCTGTCCACATGGAACTCGTCTGCTGTATTCCAGTATCTAGCAACTTGTTTCCAGATTACCTCCCTTTGGCATGGATCACCTCCCTTTGACAAGAATGACCTGTGATGATTTCCCTATCTTTTGAGACTCTGTGTTTGAAATATGGTGCTAGCTCTATCTCAGAATCACTCTCCATGATGATTAACTTTTTAAAAATCCCAGGAAAAAGTAGCCTACCTATAAGGTGGTTTTAACTTTGACTCCAGTGAATGACATGTCAAGACATCTGTCTATTTCTATTCTTCCCAATCTGTTCCCTGACAGACCCACACATCTGACTGTTGATAGTCCCTTGCATGATGCTAAGTACCTGGAATACAGCGACTATTCAACTGTAACACAAACTATAAAGGATTGTAATGTATTAAAACAGAAATACGAAATACATTCAGTGTACTGAGGCGTTATTGTTAAGTGACATTTTATGCATTAATGCTGACATAATGTCTGAATAACCATTTTGAAGTAGGTACCGCTATATCATTCCATACTGATCATATGTATTTCAAACAGTTTCAACTGTTTCTGTTCACTGGCATATTCCAACTTAGAATGCCTAAAGGTATACTTTATATAACACACCAATTGCTCAGATCGATGCTCATGTTGATGATCACTGGATTGTCTGGTCCAAACTCGATTATTTACAGACCGACGCCATATAGCTGGAATATTGCTGAGTGTGGCATAAAACTAAACTTACTCACTCACTTATATAACACACAGTGAACACATTCGTGTAATCCTACTTTTTACTATCTTGTTATGGTATCCCAAAGCATGTAGCCTACTTAAATTCTCTATTCTGTCCATCTAAGAAGATGTTTTTTTACCGAGGTAGATCTGCAGCAGTGAGAATGGAAAATAGCCTTCAGGACCTGGATTATCAATGAGAGATTTGAAAACTTGTTTTACAGTACATTGTATTTGGAAAATAAGAATTTATAGTTCTTCAGAGAACAGAGATAAAAATATAATGTTTCAACAAAACATTTCAGTATTTAAGTACTGTGTCACTGTAGATCTTCACAATGCTTGAACATGTTATAACAATCTATACTTAAAAATCATATCATTATAGAATAAAGAAGTTGTCATCCAGAAAGTATTTTGCCGTTAATATGATCTTGTAAACAATTTTTCAAGATTAAGCAGACATTTAGAGCATCTCTCAAAGAAATGAGACTGGTTCTCTCACTGAACACAGCTCTATTACAGACCAGGTAAAAAAAAAGTAGTGGAACCATCCCAAGTTTGAAATTTGTAAAGAACAGGAACAAAAGAAAATTTAGGAATTCTCAAAAGTCTAATATATCTCATCTAAGGCTTAAAATTGAGGAGTGTGGCGTAAAACTAAACTCACTCACTCACTTAAAATTGAAAGTATATGAATATAATTTTGAAAAGCAATATTTATCCCACACACTCTCTGAAAATTCCCAACGGGCATACCTGTGAAAGGTAGTCATTTGATAGAGTTAGGAAAATCACTAAATCACCAAAAGTCCTCAACAAGAGTCGCATCCTGTTGGATCCTCCAGGAATGGTTTCAACATTTGTTATGGATATGAATAGGGACTTTCATACATTTTTTAACATTTAGTATTTCTTTGAAAATTTCCTCACTTATGAACTTAAAATCACTTTAAAAATCTGAACATGCCAGGTCGCTAATGACAAATTACGTAATGTCCTGAATAGTCACTTGTGAAAGGGGAGCGTGTGTGCACGTGTTCTCACACCAGTTTCATGTCCACCCTCATTCACTGTCTCACATGGGGCAGTGGTGTAGCCAAGTGGTTAAAGTGTCCGCTCATCACACGGAAGACCCGGGTTCGATTCCCCACATGGGTACAATGTGTGAAGCCCATTTCTGGTGTCCCTCGCCATGATATTGCTGGAATATTGCTAAAAGCAGCGTAAAACTCAACTCACTCACTCACTCACTGTCTCACACTCTGCCCAGTGTGTCTGAACTAACCTGTTAGCCCTCTGCACACCATTGTTTCACATTTCTGTCATTTGAGACTTGTGTTGATCCAGTTATCTAAGACGTTTTGATTTGCTAAGTTAATTCAATTGCATCCTCTATCCATGCCATCTGGTCCAGACTTGATTATTTACAGACCACCGCCATATAGCTAGAATACAGCTGAGTGCGGCGTTAAACAACAGCTAACCAAGTAACCAACCAACTATCCATGTCAGGATAGATTGATTCTGAGTTTGAATCCCTGATTTGATCTGATTATGATTTTTGTTTTGACTGCAACCTTGATCAAGAGTGATGGAAGCCTTTGAGCTGCATCAATTTGGAAACTGTTCAAAGCAGCATTAAACTTCCACCCTTTTCTAGTCTAGAAGTTGTGATCAATTTATTGTGTCCTCTCCTTTCATATTGTCAAGAATCCGCAAGGGGCGGTGGGGTAGCCTAGTGGTTAAAGCGTTGGCTCATCACGCCGAAGACCTTGGTTCGAATCCCCACATGGGTACAATGTGTGAAGCCCATTTCTGGTGTCCCCCGCCGTGATGTTGCTGGAATATTGCTAAAAGCGGCGTAAAACCAAACTCAGTCAGTTGGTCAAGAATCCGCAAAGATCCGGTTAGAATTGAGCTTCAGTAACCCATACTTGTCTTAAGAGGTGACTAACGGGATCGGGTTGTCAGGCTCATCATGACATTGTGTCAGAATTGCGTAGAATGATGCTTATGATATTGATCACTGGATTGTCTGGTCCAGACTCGATAGACATATAGCTAGAATATTGTTGAGTGCAGTGTTAAACAACAAACCAACCAACCTAATCATATTGTCACACAAGTAGACAGATCTAGAACAGAACGGTCAGATACTAGGACGATATGACTATTTATTATATAAGTGGCACATGTAAATAGAGAGAAATTTTTCTCCCATCATTTTCTCATCATTAGCATTTACAATAAGTTGTAAGATCAGGATCATCCTATCCAATCATTCTTTAAAATTTATCAGTTGGCTTATTTTACCATGTTTGCGTCTTTTCTTCCAGTGAAAAGGGCTGGTCATTTATTATCTTAGAAGAACGACAGTGAGATTATGTAGTGAATAAAACGTTCTCCAGAAATGAAACAAAACTCTTACTTGCTTGACAACAATACAAGAATCTGTATCGAAACATCGCATAATCTGAATAAAGAATTTGTTCATAAAGTTTGTCCTTATCCAAAACTCAGGGTTGATAGGAGAGGAAGAGTGTAATGTTCTATGCCAAAAATACCATTTGATTGCTTAGTTGTTGGGTCCATACGATTACTTCGCCGCAAATAGACGTAACAGTGCTGATGCGGCAATGAGCACTCCATCAGATTACTGAGCAGTTAGTTAAATCATCAGTACAATACAAATAAATACATAGGTAACTGACAGTGCAGGGTTCAGGGGTAGACTAACACTTAGTCTCTGAATATATATAATTTCAATTGTAACAAATAAAGCCATTTATATTGAAATGGAGACCAGAGTTTTCGAGACTGATAACATCTGCATTGGGGCTACATGTGCTGGGGTCATTATCAGTTAGAAGTCACATCATACTACCATCAGATAACAGTATAAGTGCTTTAGCATTGCAGGGAAGGCTTGGCTGTAGGGAAAATAATATGGTTCAGGGACTGTGAAACAGACTAGGTTCAGGCGCTATGACATTATCATCATCAAAGCGTTCCATGTCTAGGGCAAAAAATATCATAATGAGTTTGTTTATAAGTACAATCTTTTTTATGAATTACGGTCTGAACAAGAATGTGTTTATGAAGAGCTGGATGTATTTTGAGATCTTTTAAGAAGTTTTATTCTTGCACATAGGCAAAAGCTAGCGATAAAATCACATCTTAAATTTGAATTATTATGATTTAGATAATGTATCTTCATAAAATATTTAAGCCTCATGATATTTCTGTGCGAAACATACACTGTAGCTAATACTGGATGTTCAAACGCTTTGTGGCAGTTCTAAGCACCAAAATAATGAGAGTGAATACATAGATGTTGTTTTATGAAACTCTACAATATTCTGAGTTTTATTGCATTATTTATGGTATTTTGTATTACTCATGTATTTATGTGTTTTTTTATGATAACCCATTTCTTTCAGCTGGATGTGTAGCGTGTGTTGTTGCAAACAACCCATTTTCAGTGTTTTCAGTAGCAGATTTTATTGTGGATTCGAGTTTTTACTGCATTGGCTTACCTCCCTTGCTGCAGTGTCATTTAAGGCCCAAATAGAACCCAATAAGATGCTGTGTGTAAGAGTCAATATGCTTTGAGTGTGCTAAAGTAAATATTTCTACATGACAGTATTGTGTGCTTATAAATAAACTTGGATTTTTCTTATGATACATGTATATTATTCTAGATGAGCGTATAGTTAAAAAATCACATAATATTTCACAGGTTTGAATTTACAGTGTCTTCCATTACAGTGTTATAGATACAGCCAAATGTGGTGTAGTAATAATGCATACATATTTCAGTCACGAATTTTACATTTTTGGATGAAATACTTATATACCTCTGAGTTTTTAGGAATCATGGCATTAAGGTAAATCCCTATTTTGAACAAAGTTACAAAATTCCCAATATGTCTGACAAAGGAACTTAAATTGGAGTCCAAGATAAATCCCTGAAACCCAGCTGTTGTTAATTTTTATGATAATTGTAATTGTATTCAAAACTGTTACCATGGTGACTGGTTACCCCATATGCTCAAAAGTAGTGTGTAAATTTGCTGTTACAGTTACTAACTCCAGAGAATTCACAGTAACCCGATGTCTTTTTTCATGTGGACTCTTAGATATGTAATTTAGATTTTGTATTAGGTACAACTCCAAACCAAAAAACAATGACTTGCTTAACAAAACCAGATGTTACTTTAAGCAAGTTATTTGTGCAATGGTTATGCTATTACATATTCCAATATATGATGTTAATCAATATTACTATCTTTACAACTTATTACAGTGTCACTGATGTACGAAGTGATATTTTCACTTACTTACACTTGGTTTGGTTCATAACATCTCAAGGTGGAAGAATTTACAAAATCATTTGTGTTTTAAATGGTATAGAAATTGACACTATCCCACTAGTATGGCAAGATTGACCAATGCTACAGGTTTCCTCAGATATTTAAAATTTCAAGTCTGGTTCTGCATTTAGTTTGTTGTCGCTCTGACCAGGAAGAATACTCCTCTCGCCCAGTTTAGTTTGAATAGTGGTGCTGTTGGCCTTTTGTCTAAGGTGGCACTGTTCAGTGTACAGAGTTGTGGTCCATACATGAAAAAAAATGAATATAGCTTGGGTGAATGTTGGATTCAAAACCAGGATCATAAGTTGCAAGCATGTCCAAGGGAAGCAACTCTGTACAGCAAATGGTGTCAGCTCAGACAAATGGGCCACTGTACCTTACATGTTCAATGGATTCACCAAAGTGGTAAACACCCTAGGATTTCCTCAGTCTCATGTGTTGTAGCCATGTAGGATGTATAGTCTATCCTTGATGGAAGAGACTTTTCAACCTTCATCATACTATTCACTTCAATTTGTCAAAGTCATTTCTCCGAATTGTTTCAGAAAATAGTCTATTGTTTGTGTTATGTTGGGAACATGTTCAACCAATCACAGGCCTTGCACAGATAATCATCATCAAAATATACGGAATGTTTCTATTTCCATGTTCCACAGAAATATATGTTGATGATAGCAGCAAAAGGATTGGTATATTTACCATGGTTACCCCACCTATTTTATAATCAGTATAACTATGTAAGTTCCTGGGATGCAGCAATGCTAAGGAATATGTTCAGACAAATGATGTCAGGAATAGTATAGAAATTGTGGAAGCATGAATGATCTTGTAGCCCCTTCCCCTTCTTCCATTCCTATCTGGACAAATCACTTAACCTACACTCCACCATCTAACCTGCACAACATTTGCGAAACTTAAGTCATTAAATCATATCTTCCTCTTACTAGTTGTCATAGAAGCGTCACAAAAAAAGCAAAATATTCATTTGTTATTATTTTTAATTTGAGATGGTGTTGATACACTGTGTACCAATTTGATCATTGTTTGATCACATCAACTTTATTTGATAGATTGCATAGTTTGATGCTCATGATGTCAATCACTGGATTGTCTGGTTTATTTTATTATCTACATACCGCTGTCATATAACTAGAATATTGCTCATTGTGACATTAAACAACAAAAAGAAACCAAATCATTTCATAGTCTGTTATCATGATGATACTCTTGAGTGAGCTCAGATTTTCAAGAATGACTATTCATGGTGATGGTGATGTTCTGTTACCTAGGCAACAGTCTGACAGGAAGTAGTGGCAGTGGTAGTGGAGCTGGGAGCGGAACACGCCTCACACACTCGCGGACATGTGTTCAGCAACAGAACATCGACATGCTGGTGAGGCGGGTTGAAACCCTGGTGGCTTACTTCACACGAAGGAGCAGCTCCAACAGTGAATGGATATGTACTTAAAACAATGGAATGGAGATGTGTGTGGAGCTCGCGTCTCAACATCTGCTGGAAAGATCCAGAGAAGTGTCACAGTAGTTGGTCTCCACATTGAAATTGTGCCATCATGGAGCTGAACACATTCATGTCAAACTTGAGCAAACTATATCTTATTACCCGATTTTTCAGCCTTCTGTTGACGGGTTTGTATGTAGTGGGGCATGAAGTTACCCATAGATGACACCCTGACCATAACCTGTCATGTTGACAAGGCCTGTTCAACTAGGAATACGAAGGTTCTTGGTTTGAGTCACACTACAGAAATTGTATGGTCCCTTGAACCTAAACTATTGCACTACACTGTCCCCAGCTCTACCAGATAGACCTGGTTCCCAGGTCCACTTGCACCATACAGTCTTGGCACTTAGATTACATTTACTTCAATAATTGGGGCGGTGGGGTAGCCTAGTGGTTAAAGCGTTGGCTCGTCACGCCGAGGATCCGGGTTCGATTCCCCACATGGGCACAATGTGTTAAGCCCATTTCTGGTGTCCCCCGCTGTGATATTGCTGGAATATTGCTAAAAGCGGCGTAAAACTAAACTCAGTCAGTCAGTCAGTTACTTCAATAATTAAACATAGTCTCATAGTAGTCTCAACTTTATATATTCTTTGAGCATGTGGGTCTTTAAGATGGCAGGAAAGGTCCAGCCATCATCTTCAAGTACCCATAACATTATATCTCCATCCTATTTGGGTTTATACTTTTGGGCATTGTCCCCAAAAGCTTCAGGAGCTAGTTTGAATGACACAAAGATGCTGCTTTTTATATTTATCTATTATCTTGCGATTATACATTAATCTGTAACATGTTTTGAAATGGCTTCTGGTAACCTAAGTACTGATCATGACACATTGTTTTACAGGAATTCCCGTTCTTCACAATGAGATCCCTTCCTGTGGGGTTCATCATCCATCTTGGCGGCGTAGTGTCAGCAAGATCAGTCAAACTGCTGGACAAGATACACAACCCTGGTCAGTAGACTGGCCTCTCACTATCACCTGGTTCTGTTGTATGCCTGTTCAGTTTGGACTTACTTAGAAACATTGATATATTACAGAGAATTTTCAAATTGCGATATATTGCTATGGTTCTTTTTAACAAAAAAATACTTATAATCAAGTTAATGCTTGATTTATTAAGCAAAAACACAACAAAATCATTATGCTTGATTAAGCTTTTATAAAAACATTTAATCATGACAAAATAAAAATATAAATAATATTTGGAACAAATTAAACAAGGAAAAGAACAATAATTATTAAAAAAACGAAAATGTCCGAGTGTTACAAAAGTTTTCCGAATGCATGTCAAGATACCGGTTTTCGATCAACGTATCGCAATATGTATCGTTTTCGTGTGTGAACCGGTAAATACTGGTAAACCGGTTATATTGCGCATCTCTATTTCTACACCTACGGTTAATCAATCCCAGGCATTTATGATTTCAGAACAGCTATGCCCATCTTTGGTGCCATTGCTTAACAGTTCTCTAAAATACTTCTGGTTAGCAGGGACTATATGTGTTATGAGTACAGTAGTCGAAATACTACCCAGCTTTTAATCAAGGCAAAGTGTTCAGTGAAGACCCAGACCCAGTGTTTAATGGTTTCACCTGTAGCTTGTCACTGAATCCATGTCTAGCATTTAACCATGATACTTTGTTAAGTTCAGAGAACCCGTCATCGAAATAAACCAGCATGTACATGTTTGTCCAAGACATGACACAATGTAAACTGAAAGATTGCTGCCTATATGAGGTTATCCTAGAGCATGGACCAAAATATTACAACCTGTGCCACCACCTACTGCACTATGTTGCCGCTTCAGTTTCAGGTTGACAAGTGTTGTCTCTATTTTCAGAGGAACCAGAGACGAGGGACACTTGGTGGACGGAAATTAGAACAGAAATACGATCACATGCACGTGCCATGGGCTGCCATGCCGTCATTGGATATGTGGAACAGACCTCCATATGGTAACATGATTTGAGCTTAAAAGAGTAACTTTATCTCCTGACCCCAATACTGTAATATGATCATCTGATCTTGATACTGTAACATGATCTCCTGACCTCAATACTGTAACATGATCTCCTGACCTCGATACTGTAACATGATCTCCTGACCTCGATACTGTAACATGATCTCCTGACCCCAATACTGTAACATGATCTCCTGACCTTGATACTGTAACATGATCTCCTGACCTCGATACTGTAACATGATCATCTGATCTTGATACTGTAACATGATCTCCTGACCTCGATACTGTAACATGATCTCCTGACCTCGATACTGTAACATGATCTCCTGACCTCGATACTGTAAAATGATCTCCTGACCTTGATACTGTAACATGATCTCCTGACCTTGATACTGTAACATGATCTCCTGACCTTGATACTGTAACATGATCTCCTGACCTTGATACTGTAACATGATCTCCTGACCTCGATACTGTAACATGATCTCCTGACCTCGATGCTGTAACATGATCTCCTGACCTCGATACTGTAACATGATCTCCTGACCTTGATACTGTAACATGATCTCCTGACCTTGATACTGTAACATGATCTCCTGACCTCGATACTGTAACATGATCTCCTGACCTCGATACTGTAACATGATCTCCTGACCTCGATACTGTAACATGATCTCCTGACCTCGATACTGTAACATGATCATCTGATCTTGATACTGTAACATGATCTCCTGACCTCAATACTGTAATATGATCATCTGATCTTGATACTGTAATATGATCTCCTGACCTCGATACTGTAACATGATCTCCTGACCTCGATACTGTAACATGATCTCCTGACCTCAATACTGTAACATGATCTCCTGACCCCAATACTGTAATATGATCATCTGATCTTGATACTGTAACATGATCTCCTGACCTCAATACTGTAACATGATCATCTGATCTTGATACTGTAACATGATCTCCTGACCTCGATACTGTAACATGATCTCCTGACCTCGATACTGTAACATGATCTCCTGACCTCAATACTGTAACATGATCTCCTGACCCAAATACTGTAATATGATCATCTGATCTTGATACTGTAACATGATCTCCTGACCTCAATACTGTAACATGATCATCTGATCCTGATACTGTAACATGATCTCCTGACCCCAATACTGTAACATGATCTCTTGACCTCGATACTGTAACATGATCATCTGATCTTGATACTGTAACATGATCTCCTGACCTCAATACTGTAACATGATCATCTGATCTTGATACTGTAACATGATCTCCTGACCCCAATACTGTAACATGATCTCCTGACCCCAATACTGTAACATGATCATCTGATCTTGATACTGTAACATGATCTCCTGACCTCAATACTGTAACATGATCATCTGATCTTGATACTGTAACATGATCTCCTGACCTCGATACTGTAACATGATCTCCTGACCTCGATACTGTAACATGATCTCTCCTGACCTGTAACTCTCCTGACCTATGCTGTACATGATCTCCTGACCTTGATACTGTAACATGATCTCCTGACCTTGATACTGTAACATGATCTCCTGACCTTGATACTGTAACATGATCTCTTGATACTGTAACATGATCTCTGACCTTGATACTGTAACATGATCTCCTGACCTCGATGCTGTAACATGATCTCCTGACCTCGATGACTGACCCCAACATGATCATGATCTCATGAACTGATCTCGACCTCGATCATGCTGTAACATGATCTCCTGAACATGATCTCCTGACCTCAATACTGTAACATGATCTCCTGACCTCGATACTGTAACATGATCTCCTGACCTCAATACTGTAACATGATCTCCTGACCTCTGATACTGTAACATGATCTCCTTACCTCTATACTGTAACATGATCTCCTGACCTCTATACTGTAACATGATCTCCTGACCTCGATACTGTAACATGATCTCCTGACCTCAATACTGTAACATGATGAACAAAGGAGACTTTGACATTGTAATATTATTTCCTGACCTTGATACTGTAAGTTCCTCAATCTTCGATCCTTTGATAGACTTTGCACAGCACAGCAACAATAGTGCTGAACACCAGTAAAACCTGTCAAAATTATAGTCAATAATAAGCAAATTTGTATTCAGCCCAGAAATAATCAATCCATATGTCGATGGTTTCAAAGTTGGAGTTTTTTGTTTCCCTATACGTAATCGCGGTCTCGTGTATTTGTGCATGTAATATATGTTACCCTCAGCATGTAAAATGGTAACAGTTGGTCACAAGCTGTCATGGTTCTGTTTGATCTTCAGCGATGAGATCATCATCTTGTCAGCCAGTGGAACCGCAGCGAGAGTCAACCTGAGTGCTGAACCCCCTGCCGCCATTGCCCGCTCCAACACACCACTGACATCCTCCCTGGAGCGTTGCCAAGGAGACAAAGACAAGAAGCTGTTTGTGGACATCAACCTTGCCAACCAGCTGGCCCAGAACAGGCTGTCCCCATGTGTTGATGGGTGAGTCCGTTCACAGAGATTATCTATACCTTGTCAGAGGCTGAGGTTAGTTCACATGGATCTATGTGAACTACCATTGCACACCTGTTATAACAGTGAGTGAGTTAGTTTCACACTCAGCAATATTCCAGCTATATAATGGCAGTCTGTAAATATTCGAGTCTGAACCAGATAATCAAGTGATCATTAGCATGAGCATCGATCTACACAGTTGGGAACCGATGACATGTGTCAATCAAGTCAGCGAGCCTGACCACCCGATCCCGTTAGTCGCCTCTTACAACAAGCATGGGTTACTGAAGATCAGTTCTGTCCCGGATCTTCAAGTGTGAGATATATGCAGGCCTACTCAAAGGCCGATGTTAGTTTAAGGCAAATAAATGTGCCTCTATGATCGACCTGAATTTACCTCCCTCATTATAGAAACTGCTATGATTTAATGAATTGTGTCTATGAATTCTCTGTTTCAGGGGAGAGGATGCCCTGTCTACCCACAACTGTGGTGTGTGCCACATTCCCTACAAGAGCACCACCCTCCCCTTCAGCGTCACCCTCTCCCCGTGTGTGCTGTGCAGGTACGCTCATGTCACAAAACAAATCTGTAATTTGATGAAATGAAATATTTTGTGAAGGACTTTGATGTACAAACGATGAGAAGATATTAAAAATGCCTTTAATCTGGTTTATGAAACCATTATATTCTCTGGTTTCTAGACGGAAAAAGGTTCCCGACATTTTGTTCACAACAATTGACCCCCCACCAGAGATCCTCACATGGGGCAAGGGGAGCCTGGTCCAAGCAAGGTGAGATAGACTTTCGGGAAGTATTTTGTTTTACTAGGCAGTCACAGTTGTGACTCTAATCAAACAATGGCATGTTTATGTTGGTTGTTTAACACTGCTCTCTGAAATATTCCAGCTATATGACTGCAGTCTGTAATTATTGAAGTCAGCACCAGAAATTCCTTGAATTCTATAAACAAGGACTAAGCGGTTTGGGTACATTGACATGCCATTAACCCAATAGCCAATCTGGACCACCCAGTGCATTACCTTACCTCTTTTGACTACCACCTGACCAACAGTGGGGTGTTGAGAACTCATTCTATGTCACTCGTAATGCCATTGTTTATTTCAATCATTATACGCAGGGCCATGACTGAACATTTGTTTTTACCAAGTTGTAATGCTTTGAATTTTGAAAATGAGCAAACTGTATTTTTTGTTGAAAATCTCCACAATATTTGCAGAATATGCAGAGTCCGAACAAAGACAAAAGGAGAAACAAGTGCCAAAGAAGTCAGCGATGTGAGTATGGTCATGTTTGTGCGGTCAAATTAGTGTGGTAGCATTGTCACCTTTTTATTGTTCTACTTTGATTAGGTGAGATGAGTTTAAGTTATAAAGTGTTGCAGAAAGTATCTTATATTCATTAGTAGAGCTGTTACGATTCACTTGCATATTCAGTGAATCAAAACCATATCTCATCATGAATTTAATTTATTTTGTGATCACTAGAATTGAATATTCATGATTTATTAAAAAGAGTGTTTAACTTGAATTAGGAATTAGTATTCAAAACAGGACATGCAAAATGGAACATGTGTAATGTGGTAACTAGTCATTGCAGTGATAAATTGACACTGTCAACATGGTCAAAACAAAATTCAAATAATTATTTTGTCTTTGTTCACTAACTGTTTTCGATACCCAATATGTGTGATACACATGTATGTATCACATCCGCCTCATAGACAATCAATTACAGCTCTACTCATGAGGTAGTCAGATACATTACAGTTTAATGAACCTACTTCATCAGAATTCCTTTGCAATATTGTGACACTTCTGGGTTTCTATAATCAGAATTTTCCATTTTCTTGCAGTGTCTACCATTCATGGAATATGAACTTCATAGTCAGTTAATGAATAAGTTAAAGGTGAGTTTTACCATGAATGCGTATCAGATGGTATCAATGTCTGCCAGGTAGTTTTTGGATTTGTAACCAGCAGGGCACAGTGACCTTATTGTGAAGCATTGTACCTTGATCATATGGATTGGTGCTCGCTTCGTTGACCACCTGTTTGGCTTGTGGACTGCGTCTGTAGTAATACAGACCACTCACTTTTCTTTGCTACCATGCCGTGCTTCCAGGGCACAATTCCTAACTGTAGTGAATGAGAAAGAAGTACTTTTCAATGAATATCAGATGTTTGTTTAAGGTGGTTATTATGATTTGAAACCTCTGATTTACCAGTCAGAATCAAGACTTTCCAAAGTCACGGTAGAATTTGAGACAAACTACTGTCTGTCCAGTGTATAAATACATATGCAGTTACCGAACATGGCTGCTCCTTTGGGCAGGAGTACACACCCTTAACTTAAGAAGCACCCGTAACATTTTGATATTCAGAAATTGCACAGATGATCAAGCATACAAGGAGTAAATGTAAATATACCTAAAAAAAAGATGAATTAAAAAAAAATTTAAAAAATGTAAAAACACTTTGACTATCACATTTGTTCTTTTATCTACAACGATATTTCATGTACAGACTTATATTGCCAAATTGAAAAAATATGCCCTTACTTTTCGAAAATCTGTATCTATGATTGCATTGTGGCATTGACCAATGTGGGCTGAATGACTGACTTGTTGCTTCAGATGAAGGGCATGAACGGCCTGTTTGGTCTGAAGATAGAGGTGTGTGTTGGGGACACCATGATAGTGGCTGTGGGGGTGAGTAGAACTCAGACTATTTCCCTGTTTGACGACACCATCGTCAGTACTTCATCGGATTGTTCCTAGTATGCTTCCCCATCACCCATTTTGAAATAACGAATCAAGCCACAGCCTTATTTCTGTGATTGGTTCACCTGCAGATGCTGTGGCCAATGGGTCTTCTGATTCCATTGCTTGGTTGACACATGTCATCGTATCTCAACAGTATTGATCGATGCTCATGCTGTTGATCACTGGATTGTATGGTTCATACTTAATTATTCACAGACCTCCGCCATATAGCTGGAATATGGGCTGAGTGTGGTGTTAAACAACAAACAAAAAATGCCCAATCTGATTCCATTGGAACTATGCAGAATGTGTGATGATATTATCCATTACACATTACTGTATACTGCTAGGGCTGATGTCACATGACTGTATATTGTTCTCTGATTGGCTACTTTGTTTCAGACTGCCACTGCCACCTACCTGGGCCCCTTGCCTCCTCCCCCAATACCTAAGGTATCTAATCAGGTAAGAGGGCCCACACATTCTCAGGTAGGAATTGTCTCAGGTTTTCTGATATTAAATAATTCTCATCAAGAAACTCACCTTTCTAAAGAAATCAGATAGTCAGATGGCAAAGTCAAGTTTTTATACATGTTCTAATACTGTAGACACAATATTATTTGCATTATTTAATTTACACTTTCCATCAAGTTGCTCATATTCCATGTCAAATTACTGACAAAAAACTCTTGCTTTAACCCGGTTTGTGTTAACTTGCATCTCTATTATGTTTGTTTTTAAAGCATTATTAAGTTAATTTAATGTGTTGTTTTTCGGCAGTAATGTTACGCTAGACTGAGTAATTAATAAGTTGGTTTATTTTGAAACTTCATGGCTTGGGAATCTAGCATTTTCAGTATGCTTTCAACGTATTTTACTAGTGGTTAACATGTCGAATTGTGTCTTCCATTGTTTGAATGAGACAGCTTGATATGACTAAGGTATTTCCTTCCAGACGTCAATGAAGGGTGAGAGCGCAACCTTCATGGAGCTGCAGAAGAAGATCATGGACACGATGCAGGGAAACAGAGAGCGATTCTGTCTGGATATCATGGTAAGTAGGTCTGCTGACAATCTGTTGTCACCCTGTGGTTAATCGAGGTAGAACTGAACACGTTATCAGCATTCCTTTGCAAGCTGTAAGTCATGACTAAATTGGGATCCTGGGAATTCCAGGGTAGAATTGACCCCTAGCAACTTGCACTGATCTTAAAGAACGAATAAACTTTTGTTTTTTGTACTCTTTTAACCATTACATATGAAAGACGTGTGGTTAGTCTTAAGCGGAACCCCAAATTCATTACTAAAAAACGTGTAGTTAATTAATGCCGAGCGATTAAAGTTGCCAAAAAGTCGCCTGCTTCACTCTCACCCGCCAAGGAAACCACAGACAGGTTACGTAACTCTGTCACCAGAGCACTGCAGCGAACCGGAAGTAACCTTATGTGGGGAAGGATGTTCAGTTAGTTGTATATAAAATGTGTAACAAGCTCGTCATTTTGCTGATTTCTCGACGTCATCGAAGACATGCCAAATCGTTGCGTTGCCGTCAATTGCTCCCAGGGGTCGGGTGATGGTGTCACCATGCACACGTTTCCACCGAACCCTGCAGTTCATGCTAAATGGTTTATGTTTGTGAGTGCCAAGCGAACGCGTTATGGAAGCCTGGAACGATATCTCACTTGTGTTCAGATCACTTGACGGAAGTTACAAAAATCAAAACTACTTACTAGTTGTTGTAAAATATGTATATGATTGATGACCCAAAGGATTTTGGATGACACAACTTGTAACATGACGATTTCTTCCTCAGAAGCGAGGTTGTGGTTGAAGTGACAATAATATTGTCAGTAGTAATATTATATTGACACCCACCTCGCTTCCAAGAGAGAAATTGCTATGTTATAAGCTATGTCATGCAAAATCCTATTGGCCATCAATCAAATACATATTTTACTACCAGTAGAAAGTAGTTTTGATTTTGTAACTCGGTGAAAACAAACCTAAATAGCATTTATTCTCAGACTGACAGATGTTTGCAACAGGGCACCGCCATTTTAAAAATCTTGACGTCACGGGCTAAAGTCTGTTCAAGAATCAGTGAGATTATGGTTTGTTTTCATCAAGTTAGAAAATCAAAACTACTTTCTACTCATAGTTAAATATGTTTTTGAATCATGACCAAAAGGATTTTGCATGACACAACTTATAGCATATCGATTTCTTCCACGGGAGCGAGTTGGGGGTCGAAGTGACAATATTGCGCAATAAATTTCTACATTCCTGTGGTTAACGTCCTCTCACTAGTATGTAGATACTAGTCAACCTTCTTCCTGTAACCGTGATGAGCGAGGCTGATCTTTGTTTTCACCATCACAAGTGTCTGGCTCGAACAAATAAGGCCTAGTCACAACAAGCGATTTTGACAGAATCGTCTATGAAAACAAGTTGTAACTCGGAAGCTAGGCAAAGCAGGTGACAAGATTAAATGACAGTAGATTGTGAAAACATAAAGCTTTCACTTTTCACAACAATTGTCACGATTTCAGGTTTAGACAAACCTGTAAACAAGATAATTTACCCCCAGAAATGTACGTGAATTCTAAAGCGCCCCTCATGTGTACACCTCACATTACGTCACAGAGACGCGCCCCTCTGATTGGTTGATATTTCGTTCGCGGGAGAGCATTGTGCACTGTTGTCAAAAAGGTCGATTTAAGTTAATTAAAGGTCGAAATGAGAAGTTTTAATAACAGGGTTGGAGATTCCAGGCTAGAACTGATCAGCCCGCATCATCGACCAGGCAACAAGATTTGGTCGTCAGACTCAGTGACTTGCTTGATGGCATGTCATCATCCCCTAACAACAATAACTTGTTCATGCTTTCAATCATTGGATTGACTGTTCCAAGCTCTAGAAGATACAGGGGACATTATAGGCTGGAATATTGCTGTGTGTGGTATTACGAAACCAAGCACACTGATGCACAATCTATCTGTCTTCAATAGGAGCATCTGTCAGGATGCAGGGTTACAGGAGGACAAAGTATCTCTTGCTTCTGATGAGGTCTGATAATAATGAAGCAGAAATGATCAGTCTCTGTGTCTTGCCTGATTGATGGATTTGTTACCTGCCTCGACTTGTTGCAAAATGTCAGGACTGCAACAGTATTAGTGTAGTTCTGCTTTTTTTGGTTCTCAATTCAGGATAGATCAATAGATCTTCAGGTAAGAAAATTCTATAAACAGAGTAGGTTTACCTCCTGATTTAGACTTGATGGTCTCTAATGGTCAGTGAATGTGTGTTTTACTTCAGGACAACCAGGGTCAGCCAAGTCCACGCAGCATGGCCACCGATGAGAGTGAAGATGACCAGTCAGATCTGGAACTGTCCATTGGCAACAAGGAAACATTCGTGCTTGAGGTGAATTTTTAGCTTTTGTACTTTTACCATGTAACAGCTGCAATGGTATTTGTAATCAATGAGTTATCTCCCTTTGCAGCCAATCTGTTTCTATTTTTGCTTTTCAATGCAGTATTAAAATACAATTATGAATTACCTCTGAATTTAAGAAAATCATAACTTTAAGGAAGTTTTACTTTTGAACATAATCATGAAAATTATTTATCAGTTTACCTGCCAAGCGAAGGGTATTCAGTTTTAAATACTAGATAATTCTGTGAATGTGGACAACAGATTCATCTCCATATGATGTACGTTTTCCAGATTGATGATGTGAAGGATGAGATGATTGCTGCCATGTTACATGACATCCCTCCACCAGATGGCATCGAGACGTGCAACACCCTCATTCCTCCCAGCGTCACCCGGGACAACATCAACACAAACCTGCAGGTGAGTCAGTGAGGAAGTATTGCCGCATCAGCAATCCTGCTGCCATTTGCTTAGAGCATCTTGGATCATCTCATCCAGGGAGTTATTGCTTCAATGGCATTACATTACAATGCTTTGCAGCCAATTGTGATGTCATCAGTCGTCATGACATCACACTCATATGACATCACTAATCTCTCTGTATCAGCGGGATCTGGTGGTCAGGCTCACTGACTTGGTTGACACATGTCATCGGTTCCCAATTGTGCAGATTGATGCTCATGCTGTTGATCACTGGATTGTCTGGTCCAGACTTGATTATTTAAAGACCGCCGCCATATGGCTGGAATATTGCTGAGTGTGGCATAAAACTAAACTCATTAACTTACTCTGCATCAGCAATCCTGCTGCCATTTTCATCAAGCAAGTCAGTGGATCACCTCATCCAAAGAGCTATTGCTTCAATGGGATTACATTACAATGCTTCGCAGCCAATCTCAATGTCATCAGTCATCATGACATCACACTCATATGACATCACTAACCTCTCTTCCACTGCAGCAGTTCAGCTGTACTTTTTGACACTCAAGACTCTTTGATTCTGTATACAAACTGAAATATTTTAAAGTATTTTTTGTATGAAAATATAATCTACCTGAGTGCCCTTTGGTGTTCAATATATCATTTAATGAAACTTTCGTCACTTTGCAATTTGATAGCTTTATTAACATAAATGCTCTACTTGTCAAGGAGGTCCTCAACCCAGCACTACAACATATTAGTGGTATTCAGCTTCTAATCAGTCGTCTTAAGCATGTGCAAAAACAGCACACCGAGCAAGAATTAAAACAAATGAGAGTTATCTCCCCTAGACTTGTCACTACAGCCATTCATTTATAAGACATTTAAACTCCTTGGGTTGAAACTTTTTTTGACTCACCTGCCAGGAATTAAAACAAATGAGAGTTATCTCCCCTAGTCTTGTGACTACAGACATTCACCAATAAGACATTTGAACTCCTTGGTTTGAATTTTTATGGACCATAGTGATGTACAATAATTGTATATGCTATCCAAGGTACTTGCATGTGGAATTCTTTTGTAAACAGAACAAAGACAACTGACAGAAGGAAATTACATTACCCGATATTAATAGCAATAATCCAGCACTTGCAGAAGTATTTTTACCACAAAAGCAACTGATATTGACTATGTCTACACCTGCTTGGGACCGACTGAAGGCCTCTTAAATGCATAGTGACAGATTTTAATGATTTTAATGGAGTTTTGACTGATTTGATATCACACTGTGTCTGAAGGCCTCTTAAATGCATAGTGACATTGACACTGAGTTTACATGATCATCAAATAGTGTTAATCGCATCAAAGGTAAATACGCGCTCACCACTAGACCAAGCGGTCTTGGCCAAACGGACTTCCTGCTAAGTAAATCAGACAAAATACACAAACCAATCAACGGATTGTTTATTCAAGGTTTATTGGCCAAGCGGACTTCCTGCTCAGTCCAAATTATAAAGCAATGTTTTTACGTGTAACTACCTTATTGGAATGACACTTTGGTCCGAAATCTGAAATAATGAGAGTCCGAGATACCGAGCTTTTTCATTATGACAACAAAGAAGGATTACGTCGGGACCGTAAGTTCAGTCCTGTTTATACAGCAATCCGAGAAAGACAGAGTCCAAGTTTGACAGAGTGCACTGTATATATATATTTGTTTCAGCCTTCATATTGAGTCAATATTCTTTGTTTGCAAACTAACTATGAACCATATAATTATTATGGTGTTACATTATTTACATTTATTTTCAGATGTTTACTCAAGTATGGCGGGGAAGACTTGCACCTCAGTCCAAAGCGGACTTTGCCAACATGTTTGAAAGTTTACTTAGGGTAAGACATGCTTTATAACAAAAATATGCTGATACATTTAAAACTGTACTGCTTCTCTATGCACAGAAACCTATAAAACATTGATGTTACAATACATATCTGAAACTTCCAGTCCCTGGACATCAGTAATGCCCAGAAATCTGAAACATACCGGTAATGTGTGAAGAAAGGGTGAGGGAAAGCAGTTCTGATTTTTTCTTCATAAAGTGCAGTCACATGTTTTCTGTCTTAGAGTGAGTGAGTTTGGGTTTACACCGCTTTTAGCAATATTCCCGCAATATCACGGCGGGGGCACCAGAAATCGGCTTCACACATTGTACCCGTGAGGGGAATCAAACCCAGGTCTTCGACGTGACGAGCGAACGCTTTAACCACTAGGCTACCTCTCTGTCTTAGAGCACAGCCAAATGGTTTTGTTTGTTTGTTGTTTAACGCCGCACTCAGCAATAATCCAGCTCTGTAAATAATCAATAATCCAGTGATCAACAGCAGTGAGCATCAATCTACGTAATTTGTGACGATGACGTGTCCACGACGTCAGCAAGCCTCTTATGATAAATATGGGTTGCTGAAGTCCAATTTTAAGAAATAGTTGAGTCGCACAGATGGAATCCCCTGTACACATGTATGAAGCAGATGCCAGATGCCACTTGAGGTCCATGCAGCTTGACAAATGACAAACATTCAATGGCCCAGAGCCTCTACCATGTTAACTGACAATGATGTGTTATGAACTTTTCTTGCAGAAAGTCTACTTCAAGCTGCGGAAGCTGGTTCCGCTGTGTCTGGCAGGGCTGGACTTCAACGTGGAGATCCCGGATGAAGATGAAATACAGGTAGGGAGGGGCAGACATTTCTGATGAGTGTCATGGAAGTACATGTCTTTCAAAGCTTCCCTAGCTCTAGGTGTTCACATTTTCAGAAAGATAACGGACTCTTGTCCTGCCTCATTCTTGTCATTATGAATTTAAAAAGCTTCATATTTTGATGAAAAGAAGATGAATGCTTCTTGTGGTATTTGATATTTTTAGACTTTCACCTTGAACAGCCAGCATCATTTTGGAATCTCCAGAGTGATGTTATCTCAAAAAGCAACTGATATATTATATTGGACTTTAACATTTGCCATGATATTTAGTTGCATGATCCCAGGGTTACAGTATGGTTAGTGTGTTCAGGTTTAATTTCTGTTACAATATGCATTCTGTTGTATTATTTGCAGATAGAGCTGTGACAATATGTCGTAGTATCGATAATCGTGATACTTTTTCTGACAAAATATATATCGATACTTTTTTTCATATCGTGATATGTATTGTTGACCTAAAAATTGTGAATTTTCACTAGAAATTGACGGTTATGTCAAAATTAACACTGTTACTTGTTACTAAAATACACTTTTAAAAAAAAAAATTAACTAAAGATAGCATACCGTGATACGCATCGTATCGAATCGTATCGTTACAAGATATCGCGATACGTATCGTATCGTGAAATTTCTGTATCGTCACACCTCTTTCTGCAGATACAGCAGTTATTGTACGATTCCTGGGCTCCTGTTTGTGTTAAGTTAGGTTACAGTATTATTCATGGGTTACAGTGTGTGAACCTAGCTTAAGCATAACTTCTGGGGTCACAGCATAGCTCCTGTGTTGCAGTGTTATCTACTTTTTGAAACTGAACCATATTCTACAGATATCAGTGACCGGTTGCTGTCTTGGCGTCAATGACATCCGACAGACTGCCAGCACAGGGCACCTCAGCCTGCCCCAGTCTGCCACCAAGACTCCCCAGAAGTCAGGTACAATACACTGGTTCCACCGTTGTCCTTCATACATTCATACAGGTGACACTAGGAGGACAAGATGCTACAGCTGTGTCAGGATGCCTCAGGTCACATGCAACCCAAAAATCAAACATAATTAAAACACAATTATCACTTATTCATGACATAGAATATAAATGGCTGATTATGAAAAAACATATAAACAAATTATAAGCGTACAATCGCAAATCAAAAGTGCAATATTTTGTACTTGGGTTTACTTCCCAAGAAACGAAGCAGCCGGGATACCGAAAACCCAGTCAGAGCGGGTGGGTGTGCACTCAAGTGTAACGGCTGGTTCATTTGCCGATGCCCTCACGGCTCATTGTGTGTGTATATATAGAGATGTTGGGTTTTGTAAATACATGTTTTGTGTGTATAACATTTTGCAATCAACAGACATCATAACATGTCATGTGTACAAGTATCACACCTGCCTGTCTGTGTAATTACATAATGTGACAGAGACCGAACTCGGGCCATAAATCAATGCGTTTTGTTGATGGTGTATAGCCTGATAGGTGTTAAGTTCAAATTGCATGTGGTCAGTGATCGAAGTTGTGTATTGAATATTGTCATTAGCAGACAGGCAGGCAGACACATAGGTGTCAATAAAACATACATTGAGTTTTGTCAACATATCTATATCACAGTTAGAAATTCTGTCAACGCTAAATAATGACATTGCTTTTAAGTATCGAACTGAGAAAGTGACTCGGTAAGAAGAATGTGTGGTGAAATAGACAAATGAAATTATATAAACAGTTAAATCGGTAATCTACTGTAATAACATATAAAAAGCTCCTGCATATCAACAAAGCTTCACTGAGTATTTCACCCAGTATTCACCGCCAGCAAAAGTTTTCCGTCTTGAAATGTCGAGCGCCTCACTGGTTGACACATAGCTGAGTAGATCTAGATCCTAACAGGTTCTTTTATGTAATGAGTAGATTATTTACTATTTGTTTTGATTAGACTACTCCTGCTCACGACCTTATAATCCGGACAACCTTCCAAGCTGTGCGAACCTGTTTTACTGCACATGTGCAATGAGCGCAGCCCAGCAGCAGCCCAGCTGTTGAAACCACTTTCCCCAAAGCGGGGGAAAATTAGTGAATCGTTTGAACTCCGATTTCAAGACGGGGTTTTTCATCGCTGTTATTTTACCACTTTATAAGTTGAATTTGCATTTTGATGATTTGTTTTGGCATGTCCATACCGAAAGGTATCAGAATCTGCAAAGTTGTGTTTTACATTGCATGTGACCTTTAATTGTTTGTTCTTCAAAGAAAAACTGTAATGAAGTCAATGTTAGGGAGTAATTAAATACTTTGATGATTAAAGTCTGAAAATTTGTGACCTACCTATGTGACATCTCACAGTCTGCCAACAATAGAGAGGCTCTTCATTCATGTCCGATGAATGGTAATCCAAAAACTGTAAGTCTCCTTGACATCTAAGTTTGTGGGGGCACTGGGGTAGCGTAGTGGTTAAAGAGTTTGCTCGTCACACCGACGACCTGGGTTACATGGGTACAGTGTGTGAATCTCATTCTGGTGGCCCCCGCCATGATATTGCTGGGATATTGCTAAAAGCGGCGTAAAACTAAACTCACTCACTCTAACTTTGTGACGCTACTTTTGAACACGATGTTCCCATATACAAAGTTTGTCTGTTTCAGCAGTAGGAACAGGCGAGGGAGAAGACATGATGTTCCCAATGGATTTTACAGAGACAAGTACCCCGGCAGGGAAAGGTATGGAAAATCTCTCATCTGCAAATCTGTCAAGATATTTCTGTCTGACTTAAACTTACTGTAAATATTTGAAGCTTGTAAGTGTGGATTGGTGAGTGAATGTGTTGTGGTGTCTGGTGTTGTTGTTTTGTGTGCTTTGTTAGAAAAAATCCTGTTTTTCCTGTGATCAATGAACCTTCTTGCAAAGGACCTTAGAGTTCCCCAGCTCTCACGGCCTTTTCTGTAACAGGGGAAGCAGGAAATTAAAATTATCAATTATAAAAAAGAAGATATTTCTGTCTGAATACTCTGTAACACTAGACTGTAAGGAAAGATTCTTATTGAATGTTAAAGATAACCAAAATTGCTTATTTTGAAATGGAAAATTATTATTTGCTGAAATTTGTAAAATGGGTATGTGATGTGACATTGTATGCTCTGGTCTTACAGTTATGAAGTCACTGAAGGTAGACACTAGCAAGAAGGAGTTCCAGTTCAAACCAGTAAGTAGTTGTATCAGGCCAGGGGGGAAATCTCATTGGAATCAAATCTTTACTCTGATTGGATTCCATTCTGCATTGGGATCTCATAAATTCTTCATAAGAGGTCCCATCTTGTTGACCCTGAGTAAACACTGACTGCCCGGTCAGTATAAGAGATGCACAGGTCCTTCCACCAGTCAGATGTCAGCTTTCTGAGATGATTATATTATGCAGCCTGTTTTGATCACCATTTGTTTGTATTTTCTATACCTCCACAATTATTTATAACCTTTTACACTGATGGGCTGATGAGAAAGTTCACTAGATGAAATCCTGGGAGTTTGGGGGAAGGTTTCAGATCACCAAGCAGAGACAAAAGACAGTGAAGTAAAAGATATGATGTCTTCAGTTATTTGTGACAATATGTTCATATTATGTAACACTGTTATGGACCTCTTCACAAAAAATGAAAACAGCAGGACAGTTATTGGATCGAACTTGGTAATCAGCAGGAAGCAACAATTCTATTGCTCTGTGAGAATTACTGAAAATATTTGCACCAATGATGTGTGGGTAATGTATGAAATATAGTTCTCTGTAAATATAATCAACATACACAGTGAGGTTTAAGATGTATTATGATTTAGATTACTATGTGTTTTCAGTTATTTGAGATTTTGATAGCAAAACTTATTCTGTTTCAGACACCTCCTATGAGGCATCCTAATGGTGTAGAGTTATCTCCCCTTCCTATAGTGGCTGGTGGCAAGGTCGAGAAGTATCTGGGCAACTACAATTTCTTCTTCATCAGAGAAAGTACATCAGTCAGAGAGGTTAGTAGAAGCGTTTGCACAGGGATTCTAGTGCAGGGTTTGCCTGTGGAGGTAGCCTTTGCCTGACTAACTTTAGGGATTCCAAGGTAGACATAGTCCTCAGTCTCTCCATGCTTGTCTTGGAACCAAATCAGTGTAGAAAGAACTCCATGCTTTTTGTATGGAGTGACCATGGTGTGGATCACAGGGGAACAATGGCATCCATGTATTCAATATGTTCATCGTGCTTTAATGGGATAAGCTTGATGCTCATGCTGTTGATCACTGGATTGCCTGGTCCAGGGCCTGCTACTATATACCTGGAATATTGCTGAGTGTGGCATTAAACAACAAACTAACAAACACTGACATAGATTGATTCAGTGATTCAATGTATGATTCACTTCGTGTTTTGGTCAGAATCCCCTAGATTCTTATGACAGAGCTGTTATTTGCGTGTAATCGCTTGACGTTTTTGTGTTCAGGATGGTGGGCTGGGAGGCTTTGTGCAGACAGCTGTGGCTGAAGTGATGGCGATAGTCCGTGCCCATGTTGCCTCTGGGAGGAAATGCACTGGTGGCGTACAGGATGACGCACTGTGTGCTGTACAGCAACCCTCACAAGAACCAGGTGAGTTGAGCAATGAGCAGGAGAAATTAGGTGCTGAGAGAACGATAAGAGAGACATCACTTCTTATGCTGTGGTATGGTGCAGTGGTGGTGTGTTGTCCTGTGCATTGAGCTCAGGTCACAAATCAGGTGAAGTTAAGCAACGTTGGTCACAGAGAGTACTTGGGTGGGTGACTTGGATGGCAGCTTGACACCTGAGAGTTTTCTAGGACTTCAGTCCTGCCCCACAACAAAGCACATGTGATACATGTGATCTAACCTTAGGCAAGTGAGTTTGTTCAAAATTGCCTCTTCACCCAGCAGAAAATGGGTACCCGGTGGGATAAAGTCATGTGACTATAATCTTCTAGCACCTAACAGGCAGCTTGGAGGCACTTTCTAAATGGCCATTATATTTATCATTGAATAGGTTCAAGAAATTTATCATAATATATTGAAGTTATGATACACTGGATAATTTATTATCCAATTCAATATAAAAATTAAACAACCAACTGTTGATAGGATAATGAATATACTATTTTATGATGGTAGTTTATCCTAAAGCACAAATAAATGTTGCCATTGTTACTTTCAATTTTCATCTCATCTTTCAGAGTCAGTGTCTGATCAGTGTCTGCGGGGATGCAGTCAGCGCCAGCTATGGCACCGACAACTCCGTGACGATTATACCAGACCACATACAGCAGAGAGACCAACCCAAAGTAGTCAATTCAACATGACAGACCCAGAAATGGGTTCCTAGCAAATCCTCAGTCAGGAACAAAAGACCAGTAATCAAGTTCACATACTGAACCATGTTGAAATTTAGAATTGGTCTCTGACAGCCTGATTAATACACAGTCAAATGGAGCAGACGGTCAGCGTGGCACTGATTTGTTCGGTCCAGACACAATTATTTCCAGGTTAATGCATCTATATGGAATAGTGTTGAGTGTGGCATTACACAACAAATTAACAAAACATGTTGGAGCTAGTCTTCCGATGTATTTCCTGAATATTGCTTACCCTGTGCTGGCTCAGAGGGAGACGTTATTTCCAGTAAAACGCGAAGACATTCAAGATAACATGACCATCTTCGACCATCAAGAACCAGTGTGATCTGAGATAGATCTTCTCAACCATTTCCTACTGATTTGTACCTTGTTGTAGTTGATCAGCGTCATCAGAGACTCCAATATATTTGTCCACTGCATTCTGTAATGGAGAAATCATGACAATCTGTTGATTCCTGAAGTAGAATCAATAAACCCCAAGAGATTGTCCAACCTCAATCATGTGATGGTTGATATATGATTATCCACAAATTAGCATAAATTTGCATAATGACAACAGTTGCATCAGTTTTACTGGTGTGAATGTTATCCAGATTGGCCCATAATATCATGTACAGAATCTACAACTATAGCAAGACATCATCACAATAGTTTAATCCTAAGACAGACATGGTGAGAAGGAAACACACCTGGCTGAGAGAGATACAAAAGCTTTTTTAATATGATCAGACTTAATTCATGAATGTTCTCTGAAGATGAAACCCATGTACATCCAGGTGAGAATCTGTCTTCAGCAGCTCATGCTTGTCATAGAGGTGACTAACAGGATCAGGTGGTCAGGCTCCCTGACTTGATTGACACGTCATCATATCCAAACTGTGTATGATGTTGATCACAGGATTGTCTTGTCCAGACTTAACTATTTACAGACCCTTGCCATATAACTGGAATATTGTTGAGTGCAGCGTTAAATAACAGACAATTTATTAAGATGAAGTTGTCATGTCTTGAAATGTTCAATCATTTATGCAACTGTGTCATACAAAGAGCATTACTACTTCCATCTACTTTATGCAGACGACTGTCCATCTGTCAGTAACATTGCACAGTCAGATTTATATTTAGTATTTTCTAGACAATTGCAGTGTTAAACTGAAGAACTGGAGATATGCTACTGACTGAGAATATGGGAAAGATGATTTACAAATTTTTACAATCACTACAAATGTTGTTTGTGAAAGTAGGGGAGATAACCAGTGACAGAGCTACAACTGTTTGTTAAAGTAGGGGAGATAACCAGTGACAGAGCTACAACTATTGTTTGTGAAAGTAGGGGAGATAACCAGTGACAGCACTAAGATTGCTCTATGGATTATTTCCCTATGGCTCAGAAACACTTTTAACAGACAATTCTCAGGAGGTTATTTATACAACAGAAAGGTTTTTGAAAATAATAGTCCTTTTTGTGATCATAATTTTACATACAAGTGCTGTATCAATTAAAATAACCTTGAAATCTTTGGCACAAGGTCATGAAAAAGGTCGATGTTGGATATGAAGTACAGCGCTGTCTTTTTTGTGTATTCTTTCAGTAGTGTTGTTTTGTAAGTTAGTGATAACATTGGATGTTATAACATTGTCAGGAACAAACAAAACACCATCTTGTAATTGTTTATAGGGAAAATCAAAACCTCTTCATGCTGCTGTGTATAGAAATTGCTGTGTCAGCATTCCTTAGACCAGTGTTGCCCCTGTGAGACTGTCCCTCAAGGCCTATGGTGGCACAGACATGAGCCTCAAGGGGAAGTAACTGATGATCTTAATCATGATTTGTATAGATTGAAAGTCACCACTATAAAGTACTCTAGTCCAGTGTAGTGGTATTAATGAAGTTAATCTGTAGTGTTAATATCGGAAGGTTTTATGTGAGATATAAGACCTGTAATTTGGATTTAAAACTTAACACATTTGTATTTTCTGTCTAAAATATATTGCTTTAATATTTCTATGAAGCAAATCACATTGTTTAGTGAAATCAGTGTCTTAAATTGCCTCATTTTCAGCATTAACAAGAGTTATTTCAAGAAAATATTTTTCTTTCGCATTGACAAGCTCCCAATCAGGTCATGGGTTTTTTTTGGTAAATTTAAGGCTGCTGAGTATTTGATATTGAATTAGAAAATATAAGGGTAAATCACTTTGTATGGAAATTCTGAGTTTACAGGTGGAGTCTGAATGAAACTGATTTTGCTTGGAGATGTTTTCATGCGTATATTGATGTTGCCATGGGAACAAATGCATAACTATCCTCAGACAAATTGGCAGTCCGAGGATAACTGCATGTTTGTTCTTATGACATAAAGACCATCTGCGGTCCAGGAATGTGTTATTGTAGAATTTGAGATTTATTGTTCAGCATAATCAAGGATGTTGAACGTGCTTCTCTTGGATGTTCTACAAGCTGCTGATAGAGGTAAATACCTTATGGGTAAAATCAGATCTCTCTACCCTTGGCTTAGATTAAAACGTGTTTCCAGCCAAAGTCAGGGAAACAGCTGAAAACTTAATATTGTGTCAAATAATGGGGAGTTCAGAGGGGAATTGAATCGATCAATTTGAAATAAAATCGGCTGAAATCTGCAGATCAGCAGAAAATTGCCATCCCTGCAAAGTTCATAAGCAACCTGATTGCAATAGTTCATATGAATTAACTTGGTATGTATGCAAATATTATTATGAAATATTGGTAACCAACTGCTTTGTCGCTTGTGATATTTCATGTGAACATAATATAAAAATTCATCAGAACTACTTAAGTGAACAATACAGCATATTTACAGAAGTTAAGAGAGAAATGTTATAGTTTCCATCAGTTGACAATCATCTTAGAATATACAGAGCTGTTGCAAAGCTGCTGAATCATCAGTATTTTTCATCCTTTAAGAATGGCTATTTTCTGAGCATTTTACAACATTCAGTTGTACTCATGGGTTAGACTGACAAGAATTCTGGTTGTTGATGTGCATCAGTTTTATTTATATATTTTTTAAATTGTATTAGTCACAACCATCAACTTCCAAAATCATCCATATGTTATTGAACTATGTTGTAATGGGTTTTCTAAATTGTATGCAAACTGCTCAAATTATGTAATACTTAATTTGTTTTGTTTTTGCGAGAGTTTGTGTCTGGGACTCAGGCTACAATTAACTGGTCAAATTAATCAAGAATATATAATGGCCTAGATGTTCTCTCACTGAAGTATCAAAAAACACTGTTCATTAATAGGCTTGATCACATAGATTTATACCATTTCTTTTTGGACATTTTTTAATTTGGGTTTAATTATAAAGATATTTTGTCTTGCCTCTTGGTGTAAATCACTGCCAAGACATACTGTTAAGGTTTCAACAAGCAGCAGGGGCCGGATTCACTAAACTAGTCAGACTAAGGCTTAAGAATATTCTAATAAGTTTAGTGAATCCGGCCCAAGGTCAGATCTGGCCGTAACAAATGCAGGGTTTTACACAATGCACAATGTGTGTACAGTATACACAAATGTATAGAATGGAAGAGAAAAGAATATTTGCATCCCAAAGTATGTGCGATATTATACATTGTGCCAAATTCTTCACAAGAAATATAAAGTTCCTGTTATTAAAGTAATCATCAAATGTTACAGTACAGTGCATTACACCATTTCAATGTTTCACTGGACCCTCATATTCCCGTAAGGACCCTTGAAATAAGTAACTGGGAGTCCTCTGGGACCTGTTTTGTTGGTCAAGGTAAAACCAGGCAAATGCACTTTCAGTGTATATATTTTTTCAGGATGTCCAAAAGGACATGTACTAATATTCTAACACATCAAGCATGGAGACTGAATAAATCTGTTGAAACTGTCTTTAGATCATCAAAGTTATTTCACTTCAAATGTCTTGGAGGCGACTATGTTTGTCGTAAGAGGCGACTAACGGGATCGGGTGGTCAGGCTCGCTGACTTGGTTGACACGTCATCGGTTCCAATTACGCAGATCGATGTTCATGCTGTTGATCACTGGATTGTCTGGTCCAGACTCGATTATTTACAGACCGCCGCCATATAGCTGGAATATTGCTGAGTGTGGCGTAATACTAAACTCACTCACTTCAAGTATGGAATGGAATCTGTCCATGTGTTTAAATGTGTAAATAACCAGATGCAAACAAGCAGGGTCAGCAGCTTGCCCTCACAGGCACACATTGATACATTTATTGCTTCATGAAGTTACAGAACTTCACTGGGTGTTTGATGCATGCAGAGAGACTGATTTGACAGAACCTTTGCCATTGTACGAAGAGGAAAAGGTTTGCTCCAATATCCATACCTGTTAGTGTGTCGTTACAGATCACGGATGTGTTTGAGGGGATTGCGGGGGAATGTTTATGGATGGTTTCATTTGTAACTCCAGTGGTGGTGGGTGAGAAAGTGTCACCTTTTTATCATTCAATTGTTTTGTCTCTATTTTTATGGGGGAGGTGAATGAGATGGGGAGATTTAGCCTCTGGATCCACCACTGGTTGTAACAGTGTATTTATTATGATGCTTGTGCCCACATCTGTGATAATGGATGTAAATAGGCTTGCTGTTTCTAGTCGCTATATGCCATACATGACTTCTGACATACGTTCTCTGCTGTCGACATCACACATCACTGGCTGAATCTGTTAGACTTTCAGCCCTACTCAAATATGCATATCTATGTTGCACAATGTCCGTTGCAAATTCGGGAAGCACAACTATTTTTGCTGTGATAAATGATTTGTATTGCTCATTTTGGAGTAATCTTTGTAAAATGTATGATGGAGATATTATGTGTGGCACCATATATACATGTGTTCTGTGCTATTATTCTTTCCAGCCTGTGACCCAGATTTTGAATCAAGGTCATCTAAAATATTTGTCTTTTTTTACAACAATGACATGAATACAATAATCTGTATGCTATAAAAGCTGAATATACTCTTTGACCTTAGTGTTCTAAGCATTATGACCGAGGTAAGTCAGATATATATGGTGTTTTGGAGCACAGAGAGCTATTGGTTAAAGTAGAGGCAGAGTTTGCTAAGTCAGGTGGATGTGCAGTGCAGGGGCATAGCTACCATTATAAAAAAGCCCAGGCTTACACATGATTGTTGCTAAAAAGGTTGGGCAAGCCCTCAATACTATCTAAACATAAAGTTTTGCAACCTATAGGGCTTACACGAAATAATTGGCTTGCTACGCACCTGCAGAGTGCCTCCCAATGACAAGCTGGAGTGAGTGAATATGGTTTGACATCACTTTTAGCCATATCTTGGCATGCTAGAATCCAGAGGTTCAGCCCTCAGTTGGCTGTGATCTATTCTAGGTGTCAGAACCATGCTCATGTGAACCTCTGATACCTGACTCCCTTTGAGCTTTCCTCAAATCTTACACATAGTTGTCTATAACTGAAATTCTATCCAAAATGGCTTTAAAACAAAGCTGATCACTTTGTATATGGAGATCTAAAGCAGCTTGTGAAACCCATTTCAGGTGTGCCCCACTGTGATATTGCCGGAATATTGCTAAAAGCGGCGTAAAACCATACTCACTCACTCTAAAGCACTTTACACAGGATAGGAGTTCCCAAGTCCAAGTGCCCTTTAAGAATGAGCACTGCTTAGACACCACCGTCGGCAGTATTTGCAATATTGCATGAAAACGACACCAAAAATGGCCTATAAATGCCAATATACAACTGAAAAAATGTTATCATTGATGTTTTTACTTTGTGGAATGCCAAGGTCTTAAAGATTATGGTCTATTCAAGAAATTGATATTGTTATGGTTATGCAAAACAATAAAACATCATAAGTGCTGTGTGTTATTTGTTATTGTCAACCAGCCCCTGGCCAGAATATTATAATAATGGCCATCTATAAAGCGCCTATTTCCACACACTTGTGCGTGCTCAAAGCGCTAACACATTATTACCCCAGATAACCCAAGCTAGAAGGTTATAGTCACATGACTTTGTCCCACCGGGTACCCATTTTCTGCTGGGTGAACAGAGGCAATCTTGAACAAACTCACTTGCCTAAGGTGCTTCGTTGTGGGACTGAAGTATCAGGAGTCAAGCTGCCAAACATGGTCACCCATCCAAGATCTCTCCACACTCAATGTTGCTTAACTTCAACTGAGTTTGACCTTAGCTCTATGCACAGGATCACACACCACTAGAATTCAGAAGCAGTTGAAGCTTGATAGAACCTTGTACACAACCTTCGAAAAAAGTGACAATTTATCAAAGAACAGTGGATTAATGCATGGGGGGGGGACTGGTTGAAATGGTGCAGTGTTAAATAATGACACAATCAAACTGGCCAATCACGAAACTTATGGTCTTAGTAACACACAGCGATCATGACTGAAAACACTGACTGATGTCCATACCCATTCTGAGTTCTTATCCCCAGATGCCCCAAAATGTAATCAAATAATATTTCGAACAAAAGTTCACAAACTGCCACAAGAGGCAACTACCGGGTAACAAGATCTATAGTCGGTCAACCTAACTTTTGGAACACGTTTTTGGCAAGTTACGTTTAAACAACAAAAGGTATCCAACTTTTATTCGCTCAGTTAATAATAATAAAATATATCTGACGATCTAATTGGGTGTTGAATTGCTAAAATTTATATCAACTTTTTGAAGATTTTACTTAGGAAACTATCATATAAAGTTTCTGACATTTTACTGGCAAGTACTGGAATAGCTATCAACAACGTCGCAATGTGTGTTAACATAGCATTTCATAGGGAGTGTTTGTGACGTCACAGCTAGTGTTCGGTGTCGGCAAGATGCTCTCTACAGATGCACGGGATATAGTTAAAAGAGTACATGCATTTTTCAAGAAAGAAGCCAAGAGACAAAAACCCTTGATTTCTCTGAATTGCTCAACGAAACGTACACTTCATGCTAGCAAGGTTTCAAGAACAACGCTTCATCGCATTATATCCCTTGACAATGATACAGAGTCTGACACTGAAACCCCGAGACTATAGGGCTGTGTCGTGTCATCCTGTCCACTCTGCATAGATCAATGTTCATGATGACTGTCACTGGATATTATTTACATCAGGGTTTCACCTTGACGTGCAAACATTGGGGTCCTGGGGACCAGTAATTATTAGTTTTAAAGGTCCCTGAGAAGTAACAGTTTAGAGAACTAGACGTTTTGATACTTTCTTTAGAGCCTGGAATGAATCATTGATCATGTGGACTGATGGATGAAATGATGCACGTAACTGCTCTGAAAGGAACAACCAAACACTCAGCAAAGTCATACAAGTGTTGTGGGTATAGTGAATAATATTGTGCATTCCTCACCCTTTTCCAGATACCCGCGAAGATCTAGGTTAGAATATTGATCTTCAGTAACCCATGCTTGTCATAAGAGGCGACTAACGGGATCGGGTGGTCAGGCTCGCTGACTTGGTTGACACATGTCATCGGTTCCCAATTGTGCAGATTGATGCTCATGCTGTTGATCACAGGATTGTCTGGTCCAGACTCGATTATTTACAGACCGCCCCCATGTAGCTGGAATATTGCTGAGTGCAGCGTAAAACTAAACTCACTCACCTTTTTCACAGACAGTGGAAAACTGCTAAGTGCAGGTGAATACCACAAATAAATAAAACAAACTCAAACACAATCTAATGGCATCGATCTTTCTCAAAAACATTTTCCTTCAACACTGTTAAATATAAGCACACCTTTTCACTAGCCATAGTAGATTGTGTCAAAAACAAAGAAGGAAGAAGAATACATTGTAGTAGTTTATTGCACATACAGATCAGTCACTTTCATGTATTCATGTAGTCTATGATTTGCTATACCATTGATGGGATCAGTATTTCAGTTCCATCAGAGCCTGTAGGGGGAAGAAATCTCAGATTACAGCAAGTCTTGAACATCAATGGTATTGAAAAGGTATTGTGCTGACAACCTTACAAATATAATCAGACAAAATCTGGGATTAAATCAAAGGTTTACCAAATGCCAAAGAGACCTAATGCGACCTGTTTGACTAACGCTTAGTCCCTGAATGTATATGATTTTTATGGTAACAAATAAACCGATTTAAATTGAAAAGGAGCCCCAGTGAGTTGGGAGAACCTGAACCTGAGGAAATCTAGACTTGCTTCATTTAGGGCTTTAGCACTGCAGGGAGGGTTAGGCAGTAGGGAAAATAATGTGTGAGACAGACTAATGACCTAAGTACTCATGGCAAAAGTGCCGACCATGTCTCCTACATTCAGGGAGAAGAATATGGTGCAATGCCAGTCAGAAAACACAGCTTCAGCCATGTTTTCAGGTTATGACAGCATTAATAGTAGATAAATGTATGATTAGGATAGTCAGACAGCTGGAGCAATTATCAAGATTATCCATTTGATGAAATTCATTATGCAAACAGCATGTTGAGGTATTGTTGCATTAAATGTTCTGTCAAATGATCATGGCACTGGATGATCATGATGATGATGGCAAGTTTCTGAAGATTAATATATATAAATATCAGCATTCACAGGAAGATAAATAAACTTACAGGACCAGTAAGCATATTAAGGTTAAAGATTAATGATAAATTGAGAGTTTTATGAAAGATAGATGCTAATCATAAGGGTACTTCTGAACATGCTTTCAGTCAAAGACAACTGGAACACTGAAGACACTTTTATCAATCTCAAGAAATTAGAGGAAATACTTGGTCTGGTCAAATAATAAACACAGGGCTCGATTTAAGAGATGTTAACCTACTTGCACCAGGTGCAACCTAAGATAAAACCTAGTTGCACCAGCCAAATTCCAGTTGCAACGTAGTGTGCTTAAAACGTCAGAGGTTTCGGTGCACATAAACATATTTCCGTGATGTTGTACCCATGAAACCATAGCAACACAGAGACACAGCTGGTTCCTGTTTACTCGAGCTGTCATAGCCAAGAGGTGTCTATAAATAACAATGTTTTGATGCCATAGCTATTCAAAGTTTAGAAGAAATATGAGCTGACATATTTATGCTTATAATGTTAGATTTATTGTTGATATAATTCTCGAAACTTGACTTGCACCTGGTGCAAGTCAGACTTATAACTAGGTTGCACTTTGTAATATTGGGTTGCACCAGTGCAAGTATCAAAGCACTAAATCGAGCCCTGAAACATGATAAACAAAACATAAGAAAGAAACATCAAAGGCCAGACCAAGTTCATTACTCGTTCAACATGTTGAGTGATAGATACCTGAATTCAAGATGGATTCTTATTTCACATAAGAGGGAGAAAGCAACAAGCCAATCTGTTGGACAAGCAATCTTGCCCTGTTCGCAACAACTTCCCAAGATGGAATTTTCTTTATCTAAGTCAAATTTTAACACTTTCAAGCCGAATCTTCCAGGTCAGAACAGAACTCGAGTGGATTTGCCCAGATGTAGACAGTCTATAAAGAAAACCTTTTTCATTCAAAGCTAATTTTCTGTTTCCAAAACTGGATCTACTATGGCTACAACCATCGTGTGCCAAAATATTAAGCAAAGACAAATGTTTTCAAAGACTTTCACAAAATCTTCAGTCAACTCACAGAGGTACCCAGTGTACTGATACATATAGCATTTTCATCGTATAATATTGGACATCATGGTCGACCCAAGAATAATCAGCTTGAAAAGGCAAGAATGAAAACAAGAATTATTTAAATAGTGGATAGTCTCCTTAGAACATGTATTTATACTGCTGGTACTGACAGTAAATGATACATTGTTGGGAAAAAACATTTATAATATCCTCTGACTATTGAGTGTTACAAACTTGACCTTTTCACAGTGATGATCTGAATACTTTCAACGGTATCACGGTAAAGTAGCATTCTGCTCAAGTGTGCACTACGTACATAGTCCCTCTTCTGTAGCTTTAAGACACTCATAACATGTTTACAGTTTTAAGAAGTGTTTCCAGAAACACATCCCTTCAACTTTGCCAACTGTCTTCTTCGGAGTCTCAGACCATATTCGCACTCTGGAGTATCCACAACCAACACAGTAGCATCTTTCACAGCCCGTCGCGGCGGAGTCCTCAGTAACTTCACTGAATCAATGTACTTTTCTCGCAGCCTTATTGATCTACGAATCTGAGACTGGTCACAACACTGACTATCCTCAACTGAAAAGTTTAATATCCTTAAAGGCGACTCAATTAGATTTGGTGCCTTGCAAACTGTATCAGTTATTGTTTTATGACCGGAGTTGCCTCCCTTCCTGAGTTGTCTCTTCAAAAGCATATCAGAACATGGACTTTGATCACCAATATTTTCCTTCAGTTCAGGAGTCTGGACATCAGAAGTAGGACTGGGACAGAGGTTCCTTGATACGGAGAAATCTCGAGGCGGTGTCAAACTCTCAAGATGATCAATTGATTCATCATCAGTCTTGTCATCTGTGACAAATGCCAAAGCTTTCAACCTGCCGAGGGCTCTTCCTCGTCTACTATCGCCATGGTTTTCCTTCTCGCATGACGCATGTCTCTGTCGTGTATGTACTCTCTTTCCTCTCAGTAGCTTAATTTTCCCATGGCTCAAACCTTGGCGTGCAAGGAAATTGGGAGAGATCTAAAACAGTAACAAAGATGCAAGTCAATATGCTTTACTAAAACATGCACATCTGCTAACCCAAGGAATTATTTGTTTGTTTGTTGTTTAACGCCACACTCAGCAATATTCCAGCTATATGGCGGCGGTGGTCTGTAAATAGGCAAGTCTGGACCAGACAATCCAGTGATCGACAGCATGAGCATCGATCTAGACAAATGGGATATGAGAACATTTGTGAACCAATGCAGCAAGCCTGACCACCAAAAGAAGTAAAGGAACAATGCATATTTTTAAATGCTGTACCCAGATCAAAAAGAAAAAAAGTGATAAAAACAAAAAACAAAATGGATATTTTCATCATGTTCATCTGACTATGGGTCATATGTTATGGCCATGACAGATGAACAATAATCATATAAAAGATCAGATGTTCTTTAACATCATTTTGAGAAGCATAAACATGGTCCAGTTGTAAGACCTATACCAAAATGACAAAATCAGGTCAAGTTCAGATCTGATGACAAACAGACATTCTAAACTGAATAGTCTCACCACATGACACAATACTAAAAATGTTACATATGTCTATCCATTTCAAATTTTACTTCTGAAATACGAGTCAAATGTTTTTAAGAGGAATGCGATAAAACAAGAGAAACGTACTCAGAGCTCCAGATAAGATTTAGCTCATGTGGGTACTGTACCCCTGTATTTTTTGGGAGTGGGTATTATGAATGTTGAGTGGGTATTTCATTTTCCGTTACCCACTGCTTTCAAATATGTGCGTATTTCAGTCATTTTACTCACCTAAGTATTATGTCATTGAGTAAGTTTACTAAGCAGGTATGTTCTGCCTTATGTCATACCTAATCAAAAACAACTTTAATATAATGGAAATGATTTCATAAAAAATCACTCATCCTATACTGACAGTACTACACTTGTCCTATACTAACAGTACAACTTGATAGCAATCGATGTCTTTTTCATTACGCAAGCGAGTGTTATAAATATATTCCGTACGCATTTGTTTTAAACGTTTTTGCGTATCTAACATTTTAAATGCGTAATTGGTACGCTACGCAACAATTATTTTTTCAATGCGTAATTGGAAATTTTCTCTGCGTATTTTACCCATATACGCAGCTTATCTGGGCCTCTGACGTACTGTATAGGAGTTTCAGCTTTATACATTCTTATCACTACTGTTTGGATACTGTTCATTGAACTGAAAGCACCAGAACTACTTTAACTGGGCTTTGGCTTCATCTTTGTGGCATGCATCATAGAAATGTTGAAATTCTCCTAGAAGTGTAAGAAAATCTCGATTTTGTTGCCAAAGTTTCCTGCCAGGGAACCTAATTTGGAATTCTAGATAAATCCTTGTGACAAGAGTGAGTGAGTTTAGTTTACGCCACTTTTTGCAATATTCCAGCAATATCATGACGGGGACACCAGAAATGGGCTTCACACATTGTACCCATGTGGGGAATGGAACCTGGGTCTTCTGCGTGATGAGTGAATGCTTTAACCACTAGGCTGACAAGAAACAAAACCTATCAGCCACCAAAGATGAATTCAGTTCAGTTCAGTTAGAATGACACAACAGCCATCAAATTACTGATCACATGAATACTGCATTGGATATCACATGACTTTTCTTATTATCAATGCATCTCAGGTGAGGTGAGGTGAAATTGGGTTTAACGTCACGCTGGAGAATATTTCGCTCATATGACGACGTGCATGCGTGTTTATGTGTAGGTGCGGCTGCTTGTACTAGCCCAGACTGAAGCTTGTTTTATAGTGCTAGCCCACTGAGATACCAAGCCGCAGTGAAGCATGAATACCCCACTCAGACACATTATACTGACTCCGAGCCGACCAGGCCTTGTTGTACCCATTAATGCCGAGCGCCAGGCAGGGACCAACAAGTACCATATTTTAACGTCTTTTGGTATGACGCGGCCGGGGATCGAACCCGCGACCTTCCGCTCTCCGGGCGGACGCTCTAACCACTACACCACAGAGGCAGTCCATCAATGCAGCTCAATACAACAGAACACCAGGTAGCCCAAGGACCCCCTTCCCCTTGTCAATATGCTCAAGAAAACAGTTACACCTTTTTCTGTGTGAAGTTCATTGGATTTGTTGTAAAATCCTTTATTTGAAACAAGGGCTCGGTCAAAAAGGCCATTATTGTCAATGTAGATCTATGCAAACCTTGTGAAAATGGATCATTACAATTTGTTCAAACTCACAAACGACTAAGTTACTATGTTAACAATATGGGCCATGCAGATTGTGACTTCACTCCCACCACAAACAAAGTAAGTGAGTGGGTATGGTTTTATGCTGCTTTTTGCACTATTCCAGCAATACCACAGCAGGGGACACCAGAAATGGGCTTTAAAACCACAAGGCCACACCACCACTAATCCACAACAAAGATTTGGTGGTGGGTCAAAGGGTAAATTTATCATGGCCTAGATTTTCGAAGCTCTCTTAGCGCTAAGATAGTCGTAACTTAATGTTAATAAATGGCACTTATGACTATCTTAGCGATAAGAGAGCTTCCAAAATCTAGGCCCATAATGGTAGGGAGATATAATAATATGCTGGATAATTAAAGATGGGTAACCCCACCAAAAATATGAAAAAGTTTACACGTTTAATGAGCGACATTTAATTCAAACATTTTGAAACTGAAATTAGAACATCGTACCCATGTGAGGTTAGATTCATCAGCAGCTATGGCCTTGGCTGTGAGAGGATGAAGAGCCCCAAGAACTGGGGAGAGAGGACATTCAGGGCCATTTACTGGGCTCTTGACAAAATCTAATTTTGGTTTCTTTTCAAGTATAGATTTTCGGGAACCTTTCCTTGGCATATCTGAAATCACAATGTGAAGTTGTGACATTGAAAACTTAAAATGAAAAAATTGTGATATTTGGCTGAAAAAAATTGTTTTAGTTGTCAAGAACTACTGCAATGTCACACAGTATGACAAATCTTTATCGCTTATTTCTACTTTCAAAAATATAAAAAAATCACTGTATGTTAGGCATCTCAGAATGCTACAAATCTAGAAATAAGGCAATCCAATAGAGCTTCACTTTACATTCACACTGCTTTACTTCACATTTCAAGTTCTGTGCTTGTCTTGTACAATTAGACAAAAATAATAATGAGCTGTGCACAGATTTCACCCCAATCTACAGGTGAGTTTTATAATTACCCAGAATCATATCTGAATATAGTTTTTAATGCCACAATAGGAAGACGTACTAAAATACATTTCAAAGTGTCAAAAGCCTTAATCTGATCACGGCTTCTGTGTTTGTTTGTTGTTTAATGCCACACTCAGCAATATTCCAGCTACAAGATGGCACTCAATGCAGTCTGGAAATAATCGAGTCTGAACATGACAGTCCAGTGATCAACATGAGCATCAACATGGTTGCTGTGAATAATGGCAGAATGGTGTGATCTGCCGATACGTTCACACAAGATTTTTCCAATATCATGGAAACAATACTGAAACCATGAATAAAAATTAAACAATACAAATATTAGTCCTAATACGCAGTGAGCACATTCACAACCAGGCAATATAATAACAAGACTAGCGTTTGTCAGTTCAAATATTACAAAATGCCATTTCTGGTGTTAAATGCTCATGTTAATGTCTTTGTATTGGGAGGTGAATTGAAATGGGGCTAACTTTGTACCTGGAATATTTCACTCATATGATGATGTGCATGCGTGTGTATGTGTGGCTGCTTGTACTAGCCCAGACTTAAGCTGGTTTTATAGTGCTAGCTCACTGAGAGTGTGTATGTGTATGTGTGGCTGCTAGGTGGCAGTGGCAGTCTGAAACAAAGTAGCCAATCAGAGAACAATATACAGTCATGTGAGGTGAGGTGAGGTGAAATTGGGTTTAACGTCACGCTGGAGAATATTTCACTCATATGATGATGTGCATGCGTGTGTATGTATAGGTGCGGCTGCTTGTACTAGCCCAGACTGAAGCTGGTTTTATAGTGCTAGCCCACTGAGATACCATTCCGCAGTTAAGCATGAATACCCCACTCAGACACATTACACTGACTCCGAGCTGACCAATCCTTGTTATACCCATTAATGCCGAGCGCCAGACAGGGACCAACAAGTACCATATTTTTATGTCCTTTGGTATGACGCACCCGGGGATCGAACCCGCGACCTTCCGCTCTCCGGGTGGACCTTTGTATTTGGAGAATCAGAACTGAATGTATCTGTATAAGGAGTATCCTTTCTACACACAAGAAAATGTGGTAGTCAAATATTCCAGAATATACACTTACAGTTTTTATTTAACTTTTACATGTGTGTTTGATATTCCAAGGATATTTAAAAAATATTTTGGTATGTCTTCATAATTACAAGTTACAAAATCCTTGTTTTATACTGAAATCGTAAAATTTTGTTACTAAACATTAATACTAATTCACTGTACAGCAACAAAATTAGGCAAAGATGATCATGAAATATCTAACGGCCTGGCAAGCATGAAAGATTTTTGTTTATGCTCTTCATTGAGTTATCATGGTGACCAAAAGTTTCAAAGTGGACCAAAGGAGGCGTTATGGATAAAAATTGTAATATTTCTTATATTGTATAGAAATCAATTCCTAGGATTGATTAAAGAGAGTAAAAATGTTTATAAATAAAAATATGTTCAAATTGATCCTGTATGACATTTTTTCAGCATTCCTCAGCTGTCCCTCACTTGAAACATGCCAAGCATAAACATTGCATAAACATTTGGGGTCTTAGTCCTCAAAATCTTAAGGGAACTAAACCCTTGACGACAAAAAATAATAAGTCTATTTATAGAACATAGGCCGAGTATCTACAGTTTTATCACGTCACTGGCTCTCATTTAAATAATACCTGCATCGATCGTTTAATTGAGATATTTGCAACTGTTGTGAAATGAAAGATGCACATCATGTCGGTTTGTTAGCTAATCGAAAATATTTGAATGGGGAACCTGTTGGAAATTTGACCACGGACTGTCATAATAATTGGATATCGAACAGCACATTAATACTGTACATCAACAATGACACAAGAGCGAACTTGCCCGCTAAAATCAATGGACATGTCCAGACTCATTCAGTCATAATGTTTTCATGTAGTCGCCATGATCAATACAAACAGGCAGTTTGAAAGGAGTCTGCTGATTGGATAAAATGAAAATATTATCCAATGAAAAGAATCTACACACAAAGAGTTCGGGAGGCAGATATCGGGAAATCTCGCGCATATTCAATCCTCAACGCTGATTGGTCTGTTCATTTCGTGTCTCAAAATTTAAAAATGGTTGACAATCTTGCTCAGACTTGCTTTCCATCAATTATGACCAATTAGGCTATGTTCCAACACGAATTGTCACTTTCTCATTAGTGCTATTGTACCCAAATCACAGTTAGAATGAGGTAAGGCTTTCTTTTTGTGTTTAGTGTGTGTTGTAAAGAATTAGTTTTTGATTTATTCATTTCACGGACGTTATGTCTAGTTTCGTCATGGATGGATAGATAGTGAACTTGAACATTGAAACAAGTTTGAATTGTGGTTATTTTAGTTTTATCATACATACAATAAGCAATAATCCAGTCAATTTTATACCACACTTTTGGATTAAAGAATACAGAGACATTCATGTGCCATCGTTGAACAGCTGTAACATAACATAAAGCTTCATCTTATTTTGTCAGAGAAATACTCAAGTTCAAAAAGTTAAACATGTACACAATACTTGGGCTGAGCAGGATGACCTCAGTTAGACATTTTGATGGAGCTGCCATAGAAAACTTTCGCCATCATTTTTATCCAAGGGCAAAGGATTGGGGAGAACTAAACAAATGTGGTGTAAGGTTAGGGGTGATATTCTGAAGGGGCTCCACAGATTGTATATAACTACACCATTGAGATTACTGACACTTTACCATCACTTTTCAACAGTATGTCATGAATATCAGGATAATGATAGAACCCTAAACTAATAATTAACATGGCAGGCTATGTGCATTCTCTGAAAGGCCTAAACAGTTCCAAATAAAGCCATCAGGAATGCATGCAAAGTAATTTCAGAACTAACGCCTGTGGATGGGAGTTGGGAAAGACTTCCGCCCATATCCCCCCTTATATTTCATTCTAGTCAAATCATATCACCTGAATATATATATTCCTCATCTGACAAGGATGAGTTTTAACATGTTTCTTTAATTGTATCTGAACATACTGAAAGACATGTCCTACTTCTGAAAATGCCTCTCAAAGGAATTTTTCCTCATCGTTAAAATTTAGAGGGATGCGAGCGAAAGTCTTTTCCCGGGAGTTGACGTGTAACTGTTCAAACAATATTTTGTATCAGCTGGAATTTTCTTCCTTCTGATCTGTCACTGATGACAGTAATAGTGATAATGATGTGATGGGTAAAATATATAAAAGAACTTACAATTAGTGGCGACTTGGGGCTTACCTTTAGAATTCAGCACCTCAAGGTTTACAAATGACATCACAATACCTTATGACATAATTTGTGGAACTTTGCTACCAAAACCACTGCCAAAACAATGCCTTGTGACATCTGACTGTTGCTGAGTTATAGAGTGTGCCTAAGCTCCTCTTAGTGTTCTACCGTATCTATACACATTGGACCCGTGAAGATCCGGGGTAGAATAGGTCTTCAGCAACCCATGCTTGCCACAAAAGGCGACTATGCTTGTCGTAAGAGGCAACTAATGGGATCAGGTGATCAGGCTTGCTGACTTGGTTGACAGATGTCATCGGTTCCCAATTGCGCAAATCGATGCTCATGCATTGTCTGGATTGTCTGGTCCAGACTCAATTATTTACAGACCGCTGCCATATAGCTGGCATATTGCTGAGTGTGGTGTAAAACTAAACTCACTCACTCGGTACACATTGTCGTTGAGTAATTAAGAAAAATTAAATTGTCAACATATAGCTGCTCAAAATATTTTACAAAAGTCATTGGTATATTTAAGTTACATTAAACAGATTAGCCAAACTGTCTTTGCTCCAGCCTTATTGCTGTTTGATAAAAGCTGTTTTTCTGTAACAGTTCTGCTGCAAAATCAGTATGATATCAGTCACATAATTATGTATTCATGCTTTTGGATGGATTTGTTACTTTGCAGCTTGAATTTGTGACTTATATATACATGTAGAGCATTAATGATGAAAAAAGTAGAATAAAACATCAGAGAATACAATCAGATCTTCTGTATTTCAATATTTGCTCAAGATCTGACAAACTTGACATGTCAGGTGACAAGTGAGTTTATTCAAAATCGCCTCTTTTCACTCAGCAGAAAATGGGTACCTGGTGGTACATGTGAGTCCATGTGACTATAACCCTCTAGCGTCTAACAAGCAGCTTAGGTTATCCAGGGTAATGATATGAATCAGATTGTCTGGGCGCTTTGAGTATGTATTAAGCATGGAGCAATGCACATGATAAATGGACTATTATTATTAAGTTTTATCTGAACAAACCCACTCTTATTCTAATTGTTCCCTCGAAAGTAAAACATTTTTTGTGTGAACACATCAAGGCTCAGAAACTGTTAAAAATAACCACAATATCAAACATTGCAGACTTTCATATTTTCTGAACTGTTTTGTTTGATTTTCATATCAGTAATCAGAATACTTTGCTAAGTCCTACATAGAACTAAGAAGCCTCAGTCAAAGCTAAATAAGATGCCCACCTGATGTTATTACTGGTACCACTTTTGGAAGCTTTGTAAATTTTCCCCAAACATCACCATACTAATTAACCACTATTTATATTTTTTATTCCACTGTTCCTTGAAACAGTTTGCTGGGTCAACAGATCAGTGAAAGAATTTAATCCACATAAAGATATGTACAAAATCGAACCAGTAAATCGGTTTAAATTCTTTACAGATGTTCAGCTTAAACCTACTCTGTTACAGGTGATGATCCCACAACACTTCAAATTGCATGACAGTCAACTATGACCAGTAGAAATGGCCAGTTAGATTTTAGTCCTGAAGAATTACAAGTACCCAAACGAGGCATCGCTCAGCAGGCTCTTGAGGAGGATGCAAGGCAGACATATGTGATCATCATCAAACAGGAGGATGAGAATGGAGATGTCATAGAAGCTGAGACATCGGGGTCACTCCAGGTGCTTAACCAGTCATCCAGCCGACAATCACTTGATGGCCTCCGCAAAAATTTGTCGAATATCGGTGATGATGAATATGACAGCGGCATCTCTTCAGCCAATCTCTTCCTGAAAGATGATGAGCTTGAAGATGTTGAGGAAGCTGAGGGGCTGGTCCTACCCTCAGCCAAGAGGACTCGAATCCATGAAGATCCCCCACCACATATTCCTGTATGTGTTGGGAACGATCCTGGAGTCAAAGGTGTTGTGAAAAGAAATCTGTTTTGCAGCGAGCTTTCCCGATCACTCCCCCTGCGGGATCGGTCAAGCAGTCGAAGATCGTGATGTCTTCTAGTCCAGACTTGTTTCAAGGAACAGCTACCCAAGTCAGTGGCTCCTTCAACACCCCAACACCGAGCCTGGACTACAAGACCCATCCTGCAGTACGCAAGATCATCCTTGTGTCACCGAACCAATACCCAACCCCCTCCTCCACCAGTGTACTTACCCCACCATCAGCTGCAGCTGTGAAGTCTCTTTATGCTCCATCACCGTTAGCATCATCAACACCCATTACGTCAGCATCAGCACTGAACGTTTCAGGAGCATCACCCGACTCAGGAATATCCCTGTCCGTGTCTTCTTTGTCATCCACAGTCTTGACTCCAGGGTCTCAGAACCTGTCTAGCCAATCGCTGCACTCCTCTCAGGGCACACCAGAGATGATTCCATCTTCCGTTACAACCACACAATCAGGCCCTGGTCAGCCAATCGAAACCAAGATTACATTCAGCAGACGACCTATGTCAGCAAGCATAGAAAAGAAAGATACAGAGCTTTCAGATGATGGTAAGGTTTCAGTTATGACTCAGGGTTGCCATGGTTATAATAATGTTTCCAGGACATGTTGCTGTGGTTACATATTGAATATTGTCCAAGGACAGGTTTTGATATATATCATAATGGACGGTGAGGAAGCCTAGTGGTTAAAGTGTTGGCTCATCACGCCAAAGACCCGGGTTCGATTCCCCACAATGTGTGACTCCCATTTCTGGTGTCCCCCGCCGTGATGTTGCTGGAAATTGGAATATTGCTATAAGCAGCGTAAAACACTCACTCACTCACTCACTCACTCAAAATATTTCTACAGATCTAACCATGCAAACGTCTTGCAAAAAATTCTAAACATGCAAAATCAATCTAATCTTTCTCAGCAACTACAAAAAAAAATTTTTTTATTGATACACAAACAGTCTACTAAATGTATTGGGTGGTAAAGCCTGGTTGATTGCATCAACTGCTGTCAATATTAATCTCTGGATTGTCTGGTCCAGACTGTTGTTTACAGACCATTGTCATGTAGCTCTAACAAACTTTGGTCAAGTGCCTACAGTACTGTCGGAAATAGAAAAAAACTATTTTTAGGCTGTTACTCTTCATCCCTAAAATTTACACAATTGCAAATAGCATATGTCGAAATAACCCACATCGGCCTAACTGGACGTTCAGTGGGATGCGTAATAGGATATCCAGAAAAGCATGTTTACTCGTAAAATCGGGCACAACTTAGAAAAAATGCGAGCAGCTGCTGAAAACAATAGATCAGACTATAGATGGCAATTAGGTCGCTCAGCCAGGTATGATGACGGACCATCAACTCACTTGGCATGAAATGCACGTGCTGCCCACAGACACAAGGGGTCATCTCAAATATCTTTTATGCTTTTTCATGTGTATTGAATATGTCTCTACTGATAATCTAATCTTAGCTAATATCTCTATCCCCAAGCCCGACCCCAACTACCGTCAGCAACACCAGTCTTGGTTTTGCTTTTGAGACGACCCCTCCTACCTGTTTCTTTTTATAGTGATAGTGAGACTCAATGGTAGCTACATCCTTAATAGTTTCAGTATTAAAGTTATTTTTTACGTCTGCTATTGTTTATTATGAAGCTGAGTCTGATTTCAAAATGGATATTCAAAAAGTGTCATTTGTTATACAATATCATCACACACTAATTTGCATAAAGCCATGGTCTGCTCCAAATAAGTCTCTTTGGACCTTGAAAAAAACCTCATTGCTCATTTCTGCACTAATATCTCCTCAGTGAAATCCTTTTTTAACGTTTCCTATCTCCCTACCACTGAGACTGTAGTTAGGCCGAACTTAGTTCAACAGATATTTCACACTTTCACATATTAACTACCTAAATTGTAGATATAAATGTGAAACAACCCAGTTTTTTTCTATTTCCGACAGTACTTTAGTATATTCACTGTTGAACATCCTGGGTGGTGAATTTGCATCTACAGAGGTACAGATAAGCTACGTATCTGCATAAATTACGCAAATATTTATGTGAAAACTCAATTCCTACTAAGCCTATTGCATACAAGTATGCTTGAACTTTTGTAAATACTCAATAAATGTGATCTTACATGCATACACACACAAATGTCATATCTTACTCTTAGCTTGCATACCGGTGGATAGATAAAACAACTGAGGTATATTGAGAGGTTCTATTTCACTCAGGACATGAACTTAGCAGCTTGCAGTCTTTCTTATCATTTCTCATGTTACAGATCAAATATAAATAATAAACACTAACATTTAAACTTTATTACATTTTTACAATTAATGGAAAATGGCAAAATACCCAATTGAGATTGAGTGAGGTGAGTACAATTTAGTTGGTTACTGAAAGGAGAATTAGGATACACAATTGAGATGAACACAAGTGAGTACATAACTCAATGGCCCAAAAAGTTATCTGTAGCTCTGCATCTATAATGTCTCAAATATTTGTGGTATTTAAATCAAAGGACCCCTAGATTTATTTTAACGTTAACATTAAGCATGTTATGTTTATGACAAGGACACCTTGACTTCCATGCTTAATTTCATTACACTGATAAATGTGATATATACTCTTCCATATGGATTTCATGAGCATGATGAGCATTGTGACATAAGACTGTTATACACTTTGTTCAAAACATAGTCCATGTATTGTCTACATTTAACACAACATCAATTTTTCCTGAAGGTGCTGACAAGTCCCTGGATACCTCCCTGGCCAACATTCAGTGGCTGGGTGCATACCAGCTGGGAGCGAAGCCAGCCCGCAGCAAGACAGACCCACCCACAGTAGCCACACGCTGGACATCCGAGGAGAGGGGTCGACGGAAGGAATACAATCACGAGGAGATAGTGCGGGTGAGCAGACTGGTGGTGTAGATGGTGGATGGAAGGGTATGCATGTAATGCTGAACATCTGAAATCGGAGTTTTGAATCTAAAGTTCCAATTGTTTGTGAACTGTTTAATGCAGCGCTCAGTAAGTTTCCAGGTATAAAATGGCAATGAGACCAGACAATCCAGTGTTTAACGTCATGAGCTTCAATCAATGCAACTGGAATACAATGACATATATTAACTTAGTCAGTAGGCCTGACCCGCGGATCCCATTAGTCGCCTCTTATGACAACCATGGTTTGCTGAAGACCAGTTCTTACCCCAATGTTCATGGGTATTCCTATTTGCAAATACATTTAATATTGCCTTTTCCCTGTAATACAGCTCTATATATGTCCAGGGTGAAATGCTACACTGGTGCTCTGGTAGATTGTGACTTATTATAAAACACATGATACATTCTTCTTTGTACCACGATACATATGGTATCGTGACCTTGCTGCATCGTTTCACCCCAAGTATTTGTCATACAAACACCTGGGGCTCATTTCACAAAGGAAATGTTACTAAGGTTAACCTTAACTCCCATTTTAACATTGCACTAAGGTTACCTTAGTGACTTAAGATGACCTCAGTGCTTTTTGAAAGGAGGCCCAGGACTGAAATGACTCGCACTTCTGTCTATCATGATGATCTTGTTGCATTTCAAAGAAACAAAAAACCACAGAATCTGCAATCCTACAAAAGTGTTTTTGTATAGAGTTGTCTCATTGCCCACATTAAAAACGTGTTTATATCAAATATCTACCATTGCCAGCCTCCTTATGTTTATTGCACAATGTTTTGCGAATTAGAGCTCAGGGCTTTTATTATTCCGTCAGGACAGATGATGTCTAATTTGCTTGTAGGTTATTCATTAAACATGCTCACTGTAAGATTCTATATATGTCAGTAGATCATGTAAATGTATTTTTTAGGTAAATCGCGAATGTGGACAAACAAAGCGTCCCCCATATTCCTACATGGTGCTGATCCAGATGGCACTGCAGAGCCGAGCTGACCAGAAGATGACCTTGAGGGAGATATGCAAGTGGATAGAGGAAACCTTTGCTTTCTATAAGCACACAGCTAAGCCAGGTTGGAAGGTGAGTACAGATAGTTAGAGCAGTGTTAAATTTTGTATTAAAGTACCACAGACTCTCTCAGTCTCACAATTTTATATTCTACCTAAGGATCACCCGTTTTGTTTACAATAGTTAATCTGTCATGGCATAAGGTTTCAAAAATTAAAGGCCTTATTAGCATGATGATTTTTTTTTAAAGATGATTATGATGTTCAGAAGGTTATTGTAGCACTTATACCAAAAGACGTTAAAATATGGTACTTGTTGGTCCCTGCCTGGCGCTCGGCATTAATGGGTACAACAAGGACTGGTCGGCTCGGAGTCAGTATAATGTGTCTGAGTGGGGTATTTATGCTTCACTGCGGCATGGTATCTCAGTGGGCTAGCACTATAAAACCAGCTTCAGTCTGGGCTAGTACAAGCAGCCGCACCTACACTTACACATGCATGCACATCATCATATGAGCGAAATATTCTCCAGTGCGACGTTAAACCCAATTTCACCTCACCTCACCTCACCTCACATGACTGTATATTGTTCTCTGATTGGCTACTTTGTTTCAGACTGCCACTGCGACCTAGCAGCCACACATACACACACACACACACGCATGCACGTCGTCATATAAATGTCATGTTCTCATTTGCCTGCCCAGTCTACTATTATTCACCGTCAGGTTTTCATGCCGACTTTTCAAATGTTTGATTTTTGCCAGTTGGAGTAATAATGTTAGGATATTAGTGTACACACTAAGTAAATGAGGTTATTTTCAGTCATTTTCTCCGCTGAATTTCAAGGGATCCAGTAAATCAAAAGGACCCCCAGATGCCAAAGATTTTGTAGATATGGAGATTGTGTGGATTCCTTAGCCATATTACTATTATAAGAATCTCAAAACATAATCGCTTGTCTTTTTCAATAGGGCAGTCAGATTCACCATATTTCCTCTTTCACATCACTGTTGAGGATGATTATGTTGTGGTACACTGTTTGGTCATTGGTTGCAGTGAGGCTTTACATAACATCAGCATCATGTTGTCTTTGCTGTTTCAGAACTCAATACGGCATAATCTGTCGTACTACCAGTGCTTTATCCGGACATCAGAGGACAAGAAGAAGCATGGAGCAAGGTGGACCCTCAAGTTCGATGACGAGAAGCAAGACTACAGAGCAGGAGGCAAAGGTATAAACAAACTGGGTTTTGTTGCATAAGATGTTGATTTCACTCAGAGTTCTGTACATGTATTTGCCTCCAGTGAAGATTCTGGGTTAGAATTGGTCCCTATCAACTTATAGCCTCGTGGTTAAAACATTAGCTGACGACCTGGGTTTGATTCCCCACATGGGTACAATGTGTGACACCCATTTCAGGTGTCCCCACCGTGATAGTGCTGGAATATTGTTAAAGCAGGGTAAAACCATACTCACTCACACCCTGTCAACTTGTGCTGATCTTAGGAGGGGACCAAATGAATTGAAGCTTGGCTGGCATGCAGTGTTGTTCATCATATCAATCATTAAATTGTCACACTTCAGACTTGATATTTTACTGGTCACGATCGCTCTATTGACTAACTAACTTTGTCTTCAGACAAGGCTACAGTTGACTGCATCCAGGCAACCACCCAGCTGCCAGGCATGATCCCACTGTTTATCAACCAGAACAACGCCAGTGGAGTTTTCCAACCATCAATTGTCCCGATGCCACCCTCGTCCTGCTCCAGCCTCCCACAGCTGCAGCAACAGCCCTTCCCATTTCATGCTTGCTTCAGGAAGAAGAGAACAGGTACATGTCTTCACACAACTCACCTGTTAGGCTTTATTATCCCCCGCAACGAGTTCTGTCCGTCTTTGCGTCCATCACACTTTGTCCGAAGCTTATCTCCTAAACTATTGGTGATAGCTTAACCAAACTTGGTACACATGTCAACCATGATCCCTATATGTGCCTTTTGGGGGTTAGACCTAGATGTTAATTTTATTTTTAGTGGTTTCCATGGAAACATGACTTATGCTGTGACTATGAGGATGTCATCTTGTTGCATTTCCATGACGACAAGTTCGGCTTCAACTGAATTTGGTGGTAGTGTTCCTTTCTAGAGCAGATCTTAAAAAACCTTTCAATACTCTCCTTCAACTTTCCTGTATACACTCCAAAGATTTGACATGATCATAACTAGTAGACATATTCATTAGGAGTATTTTGCTGTAGCGGGGGATATTGATGACTTTGTCTTCTTGTACTACCTTTCAACTTTGCTTTGTTTTTCTTTCTATCTTTTGTATACAATAAATATCTATACTGAATGACAGTGTTTACTCTAGATGAAAAGACAATCTGTTCTGTAAATGGTTGCCTTACCTTAGTGACATGATGCATACAACAGTCAATGTGAAAACTGATGGGCTAATCATCCCAAAGCAAATCTGTAATGAACTAATTGGGTACACCATGTTTATTGTTACATTATTGGAATGCTGAAATGGAAAAAGAGCGAGTGAGGTTTTCTTTAGGTGTGGGGGGTGTCTGGATTTCATTGGTTACCTCCCTTTCTCCATGTCATAGTTGTTCAGTAGTTTCTTCTGAGGCAGTAATTATATAGTTTGTTATGATATGTTATACATATCAGTCATTATGTAGTGACTGGGGCTGTTACGATTCACTCCATATTCCGTGAATTGAACTCCTTTTTTTTTCATGATTTCAGACCCTTGAAGATCCTGGTTAGAATTGATCTTCAATAACCCATTCTTGTCATAAGAGGCGACTAACGTGATCGGGTGGTCAGACTCGCTGACTTGGTTGATAAATGTCATCGTATCCCAACTGCGTAGATCGATGTTCATGCTGTTAATCGCTGAATTGTCTGGCCCAAACTTGATTATTTACAGACCGCTGTGAAATAGCTAGAATATTGTTGAGTGCGACGTAAAAATAAACTCAGTCACTCAAATACTCACTCACACTGTTCTGTGCCTATGGGAGAGAATATTTTTGTGTCTAGTAGAGCCCTGAATGTTCAGTGCATCTGTACACTCTTGATTTCTATGTTGAATAAGGTGTTCAATATTCATCAAAGATTGTGTGAGTATGACAGTGTCAGATTGAAAGTTGTATTGGTGTTGAATCTATTCTTTACACACTTGAATACTAGGGTAACATTGGACTCTTCCATTGCAGGTCCTATGCCAATTCTGCCCCGCCCATCTCCGGTGCAAGCATATGCTTTAGTGCCACTCCATAATGTGCCTCAGCAACAGCAGCAACAACAACCAATCATCGTCCATTTCCCCAGCGGTCAACACCAAGTTGGGGGCACCCCTGCCCAGACCGAGACAACTTCCTCGGTCAGTACACCTGTTCCTATCGCATGTGCCCCGACACCGCAACACTCAGACAAGTCCATACAGCCCGGTCTGAACATCCTGCGACAGGCATGGCTCAATGCAGATGTCTCTGAAGATGAAAACGCTTTGACTTCCATTTTAAAAGAACAGGGTATTTCTGTGGCCAGTGGACAGACTGAAAAGAAACAAACAGCAAAACAGTTAAAGGTCAGTGCAACTCAAGGTCTTCCTAAACCTAAGATTTATGCACCCAAGCCAAAGAAAAGAACTCGAAGTCGGATCAAGAAATTACCAAAAGTTCCTGAAGAAAAGACTCTTTTGGCCGAATCCTCGGACTCTGAACCTGATGATCAGTTTGAGAAGGGTTTGCCCACTCCTCTGAGACAACTGTTTCAGTCGCCGGATGATAAGAATAAGAATGAGCTTCTAACAACATCTACACCTCTGAGGAATGCTACGATATCCCCAGAGCATCTCCCATCCCCGATTCGAGGACTGACGCCTCTGCGGGGTACGGGGCCTTTCGATGGCAGTTTTCTAGACATTTTACAAGAAGAGGCTGTGCATGCTCTCAAGCTGATCGGATCCCCTCAGTTTGGGGACGGTCAGAAAACTGGACGTTCCCCAAATAACTCTCTCACTGAGTTTGGAATTTTCCAGATCTCACCTGACAAGGGGGGTAAAAACCTCAGTGATTATCCCCTGAATAGCCTGTCACGGATATTTGCTGACTTTGATACTAATTTTATGACAGAAAATGATGGTCTTCCAATAGATATGTCCAACTTTAACTGGAGCGGGCTCCAGCAGGCCACAGTGTCCCCCAAAGACCAGGACAAAAAGTCCTAACAGTTTTACAAACAAGCCCACACCCATCTTTGATTATCAGGGTAATGTTTCACCAGCTGTTGTGATAATTCCAGGGACCTGTTCACCACCATGCCTTCATTTTGTCTAAAACTCGTATCAGGAACCCCTGAATTTCTGACAAACATCAAAATTCCTTACTAGAGGTATATACCTCAATTCAAATTTGCAACCTGTTCCAAAGATATGTTTAGTTAGAATGGAAGACAGTTCTGAATGCGGTATATTTAAATAGTAGTAGGGTACTAGCATATGTCGTACAACTGCTTGTTACAATCAAGAAAGAATCTTTTAACTTCAAAGGACAGCTAACTGTACCATTTTTGTTGTTGGATTTAGCCAAGTCAAACTGAGGCTATAGGTCCTAGGTCTTTATCATAATACAATGACGAGTAGTACCTTTAGGTCCAATGTTCATGTGCGATTTTGTGATTAAGTCTAGATTTCAAAATCAGTACTGTTATAGTTTGAAGATGGTACTACAGTTTGGTTTATGTCCAACCAGATACATCAGACTCAAACATTCTCATTTCAAATTAATGCCGGGGCAGTGGGGTAGCCTAGCGGTTAAAGCACTGCTTGTGACGTCGAAGACCCATTTACGATTCCCCACACGGGTACAATGAGTGAAGCCCATTTCTGGTGTTCCCCGCCTTGATGTTGCTGGAATATTGCTAAAAGCAGCATAAAACTAAACTCTCCCACTCAAATTAATATTCCAGGGGTCCATAGAATTGAGGATCAATGTTTGGCATGTCATCTCGACACAGCGTTCATTAATGTTGGTATAGTTATACCCATGGTAGTCTATGTACATGGACAGAAACTGAGTCGCTTCCAGTTGAAACCACCTGACATATCACCTGAAGTAATAGTTTGTAATGATCATATAATGTATGTGTAGAACAACTGACGAAACAATAAATAACTGTGTTAGAACAATGTCAGATCACAAGCTCAGCACTTACCAAATTTTTAAAAGGCTTGTGTAATGAGAAAGCTTAAGTCGAGGGTTCCTTTCCACAGAGGGATCTTAGCATTAAGATTGTCACAAGTATGCTAAAGGGGCTAGGTTCAAGCCTAATGGCAGTGTGGCAATTCTGAGTTAAGGCATTCAAAACGTATGCCAGTAACAGTGTATACTGATCTTGCAGTTAATGATATGAATTTCACAGAGATAATGATTCAGTTTGACTCACTAAACGTCTAGACCAAGTCTAAAATAGGCTCCATAGGTCCAGACCACAAGGGTGAAACCAACCTTTGAGCTAATTGATTTATGAAATTCCCGAAACAGTAGCTCTCAAAGCCACAAGGCATGTCTTATTAACTTGGTCTCATTTAGAAACAGCCTGCCACTTCAACCACTAGTCCTAAAACCTGGCCCTCGTAAAATTGTTTAGTCTAGTAAGCTCAGTATTAGACTTTCACTTTGGTTACTGGCTGCTAAAACTGACTGATATTTTTCCTTCAGTCTTGGGGGCAGTGGGGTAGCCTAATGGTTAAAGCGTCAGCTCGTCACGCTGACGACCCAGGTTCGAATCCCCACATGGGCATAATGTGTGAAGCCCATTTATGGTGTCCCCGCCATGATGTTGCTGGAGTATTGCTGAAAGCGGCATAAAACCCAACTGTGAGTGCCATTCACAACCATTGTCATTATTACAGCAATACTTCCCCACCCCCAACGAAGAAAGATGGTTTTAGGGCTAGTATACATGGTATCGGTTCACCAGTGCTTGTAAATATGGATAGAATATGGACTACAAAGCCCATTTGATGCTCTTAAGTCCAGATCAAACACCATTACACCGGATGTTGCAATACGAGAAATCTACATAAGAGTTATTAACTATTATGTTAATTTGTTTTCATCAGTATTGACAAAGTAGTATTTTTATAAGGCTGAACTTGTTTTTTGTTACTTTTTTTTAGTTTTCTACTATTTTCTGTGATTTAGAATCTCAGTATAAAGTATTATGTTATCTTTGTTAGATTACACAGAGTGTACACGTTTCTTAGATCAACTGAAATTTGTGAAAACTGAGTGCGGCGTAAAACTAAACTCACTCACTATTAATCACAAATGAAACACTCTCATCTGATTCCTGTGCATCAAAAACTATTTTTAAAATGCCAATTTTGAATGTGAATAATTGAGGCTACCATTGTAGTGTTGTGGATAGTTTATATATGGTGTTGTTTCTGAGCATGGGAGTTCCATGAGAGGAGTATTTATGATAGGTTGTTTTGTTTTTTTTGGGTTTTTTAAAAAATAATAAAATTAAGACTTCTGAACTGAGGTGAAGAAAGGAAGCTGAAGTATTTGAGAAAGATGAAAAGAACCTCACTCACTTCATTTAGATTTGTAGTCAATCTTGGAGGGGTAGTAACATCTTTGCTCAGTATTGCATCACAGTAGACAAATCTTAGTGAAACTGGTCTGTCTTGGCCCCATTTCATTCAGCAATGAGATACTGGTATATGAATTTGACAGGGATCTGCCATAGCACTGACGATAGATGGTCAGAATTTCGCATTTCTGTAATTCCCTACCTTCTTGCTTTATGTTTGGGGTCCATTACTTTCATATTACATCATCCTGGAGGTGAATCCTTGATTCCTTTACATATTTAAGTTTGTCACCAAGATACAGATGGGGGATGAAATGCTGGGGTGGGTCGCATACTTGATTTATGTGATGTAGATATTACCTCCTACAACTAACTATCTCTATATCACTGTCAACTCTTGTCTTCCAGTCCTTCTGTCTCTCTCTCCACTCATTCGTCTGGCCATGTACTTGGCATGTATGTATACAGTCTGCATATTTCCAGTGTTATTGTACATACAACTGATCACTTGGCTTCACAGCAGAGACGGAATCATAACAATCACACAATAGTTTCTTGTGTCCTTTAGTTACCATAGTTAAAATATTTATACTCTATCCATGGTCAGGCAAGTTGGTTAAAGTCATGGCCTAGATTTTCGAAACATTCGCAGCCCAACGGACTTCTTAAGCCCATTCTTAACACATTGGCTCCGATCAAAGTTAAGAATTCTTAGGGCTACAACGTTTCGAAAATCTGGGCCATGATGTCTTGACTAAGTCAGAAATTAAATCTGTAGAATCCCTATGGGATTCTCTTCAGTGCTGACCTGACACATCTTGCTTGACTCAATTACCGGTATGTACAGACTGCCGCCATATAGCTAGAATATTGCTGAGTGCAGCATTAAACAACAACAAAATTCAAGTAATAAACTTCTATGAAGCTTTTGTAAGTATCTACTTTGTAATAAAATACATTGGGGTAGGTTAGAACAAGAACACTTTGTTCCTCTGGATGGTCACAAATTATTTCTCGGTCAATTTGTAAATAGAAAGAATGAATTTGTCAATAAGAACAGGATGTCATTTTAAATAATGGCTGTTTTATATGGACTGTTTAGCAAGGTGCTTTACTTTGGGTGGGGTGGGGTGTATACTTGTTTAAATTCATGTAAAAAAACAGGGTGAGGATGAATAAGATGAATCCTTAATGTGTTGGGACATCTTTTAAATATTTATCATATTTATTGTAAATTTGGAAATATTGCAGACTACATTTTCTGTGATCCCCACCATACTTGGTTTCCTCTGTTAATAGATCTATGCACTTGTGAAAACTATATGCAAGTATTGGAACACTAAATGTGTTTACTTGTTACTGTAGCAAGATTGTCTGTACAAGATCAAGATGCAGGATGGAATGTCTGTACAAGATCAAGATGCAGGATGGAATGTCTGTACAAGATCAAGATGCAGGATGGAATGTCTGTACAAGATCAAGATGCAGGATGGAATGTCTGTACAAGATCAAGATGCAGGATGGAATGTCTGTACAAGATCAAGATGCAGGATGGAATGTCTGTACAAGATCAAGATGCAGGATGGAATGTCTGTACAAGATCAAGATGCAGGATGGAATGTCTGTACAAGATCAAGATGCAGGATGGAATGCATTTTCTGGTTGATCCTTGTGTCATACAACCAGTGTGTAACACTGGCATCCATAGAATCTCAGGTGTCACACTATATATATATATATATGAATGGAATAATAAGAAAATAAATATATATGAATACAATTCTGGAATTATTTTTATTTACCCATGATTGTATTGTTGTACAGGTGGTGGGGTAGTTTAGTGGTTAAAGCGGTCGGTGGTCATGCTGAAGACCCGGGTTCAATTCCCTACATGGGTACAATGTGTGATGCCCATTCTGGTGTTCCTGACCTCCATATTGCTGGAATATTGCTAAAAGCAGCATAAAACCTTACTCACTGTATTGTTGTAGAATACAATGTCCACACCTCAGACATTGATGGTTTTGTGGATTGTGTCACAGAGTTCACTGGGGCCCAGAGGTCTTGTGTGCTTGTGTTTGGGATAGTTGTATCCCTTGGGTGTGCTTTAATGCTGCAATCATAGTCTTGAATCTGATATTTGCCCAGGCACAATATCCACCTTGTGTGTTTCACACCAGTGGCTGTGACTAAGGTAGTCGGGTGGTCAGACTCGCTGACTTGGTTGACAGGTGTCATCTTATCTCAGCTGGGTACATCATGCTCATGATGTTGATCACTGGATTGCCTGATCTGGACTCGATTATTTACTTACCGCTGCCTCATGGAATATTGCTGAATGCAAACAACAAACAAACACACCAGTGTCAAGTTGAGATCTACAACAGTTCTAGCATTCCTCTAAAATGAATATTGGCAAAACTGAGTTTTACACTGCTCTGATGGTATCAGAAAGTTGTACTTCCCTGGTTGTTTGAGTGGCCTGATGTTTTTTGGGCCTGCTTTACCTATTGCATAAGGACTGAATGTTGTTCACTGATGTCAATGTCATGGAGCCTCCAAGAACATGGACCAAAGGTTGGCTACCCCTGAAGCTCCGGGTTAGAACTGGTCTTCGTAAGAGGTGACTAACGGGATCGGGTGTCAGGCTCGCTGATTTGGTTGACACACGTCATCGTATCCCAGTTGCGTAGAACGATGCTCGTGATGTTGATCACTGGATTGTCTAGTCCAGACTCTATTATTTACAGACCGCCGATACTGCTGACTGCGGTGTTAAACAACAAACTAACCAACCAACAACCAAAGGTCGGCCACAATGACCCACAATTCTCTGAGGAGTATGCCCGTTGGCAAGGTCGCCAATTATTGTGATTGAGGGGAACTTGATTTTGCAAATGGCTGTTTTGCCATGTTTGCAACAGAAGGGCCTAGGGTGACGTTTTAATACTATAACGCCAGACCACGGGTTGCTCCAGCTGTACAACACATTATACCGACTCCGAGCCGACCAGTCCTAGTTGTACCCATAAATGCCGAGCGCCAGGCAGGGACCAACAAGTAACGTTTTCGTGGCGAAACGTCTTCGTCTCTTTCTGCCGACGATTGAATGTTGTTGTTTAAAGATAAGCTAAATAAAAAGATCTTAAGGGTAATAAATTCGTCACCTGGTGTTCTGAAAGGGTGTACGGAACTGTAACACCCTTGTAAAGTCCGTATTTCCTTGCGCCTCAGGAAATACGGAATTTACAAGGGTCAAGTACAGTCCCGTACATCCTTTCAAAACACCGTGTAACTAATAGTGAATACGAGCCGGGGGCCTTATGTGCAATAAACTATCTTGATCTTGATCTAGTGCTCAGACGATCATAACTAGGCAATATTAACAGATTTTGTGAAGAACTCGCCCAAGATGGATTAGAAATTATGATTTTAACCCCTTTAGCTTCACAATAGTTAGTAAAGCCAATAGTATTATTTGGTTTGTCACCAATATGTTTTGTATTAGTCGATAATGTATTTGTTGCCATTAAAATTTGTTCCATAATTTGCAAATATAGAGTTCATCGGAACGTCAGTATTGATACCCACATAATTTTATCCTATCCATCATAATATCGATTTGCTCCATACGCTTGATTGGTTCAGTATGAAGAAATATAGGTATTAATGTTGCTTTTCCAAGTGGTCGATGTAGTGCCACCGTCGGTGGATGAATACCCAGACATGAGCCAGTGTCACCACAAGTGGTAAGCGTATGAGCGACACAGAGGCAGAAAGTCGTAGGTAAACGGACAAACACCAAATATGCCGCATGCTAATTGCAGACATCAGCAATTCACAAACGGTGTATGTGTATTTACCCAAATGACAACGAAATATTTGTTCCAGAGAAGCAAATGCCCTGCTCGACTGACAATCCACGTATTAATTTACGTTTACACAGCTTTCAACTGATCCTACACCCTGAAGGTGTTGTACCTGGTGATACACACATCAACACTCTATGTCCACATACTTAGATAATGAAATGTGAACCTAGTCTCGTATATACACGTTTAAGTAGAGACGAGAGTTCAGGCCACGGGGTCCTGTGACAAGTACAATGTAAACACAAACACACGGTGTACACAGCGTTGTGCGGCAGTCATTCTGAAGGCTTTTTTGTCATGTTTTCAGTTTCAAAGGCATGAATGTAAATTTAAATCACCATAATCCCTGCTGTGAATGTACGAATGCAATAAATCACACGTTGTATTTATTCAGTTGTTTGTAACCTGTTGTAAGTGTACACATCTAATGTATTCAGATGTTCATCTGGTGTTGTGTTCCAGCTTAACAACCCTGGGTGTTGAAGTACTATACAAGTCAGCTAATGACAGCCATACAACTCTGTGGACGATCATGTATTTGTGCTGTGTCTCCTTGTAGCTACAAGGGGTCACCATGGCCCCTATCTGTGACAAATGTACCTAGCACTTGGTCCCTATACATGTCAATGATACATCTTATACTTGGCTCCATAGTGGTACTTGGTCCCCTATCTGTGACAGGTGCACCTTGTACTCGGTCCCCTATCTGTGACAGGTGCACCTGGTACTCGGTCCCCTATCTGTGACAGGTGCACCTTGTACTTGGTCCCCTATCTGTGACAGGTGCACCTTGTACTCGGTCCCCTATCTGTGACAGGTGCACCTGGTACTCGGTCCCCTATCTGTGACAGGTGCACCTTGTACTCGGTCCCCTATCTGTGACAGGTGCACCTTGTACTTGGTCCCCTATCTGTGACAGGTGCCCCTTGTACTTGGTCCCCTATCTGTGACAGATGCACCTTGTACTTGGTCCCCTATCTGTGACAGATGCACCTTGTACTCGGTCCCTACCTGTGACAGGTTCATCTGCTACTTGGCCCCTATCTGTGACAGATGCACCTTGTACTTGGTCCCCTATCTGTGACAGGTGCACCTTGTACTTGGTCCCTATCTGTGACAGGTGCACCTTGTACTTGGTCCCCTATCTGTGACAGGTGCACCTTGTACTTGGTCCCCTATCTGTGACAGGTGCCCCTTGTACTTGGTCCCCTATCTGTGACAGATGCACCTTGTACTTGGTCCCCTATCTGTGACAGATGCACCTTGTACTCGGCCCCTATCTGTGACAGGTGCACCTGGTATTTGGTCCCTATCTGTGACAGATATACCTTGGCCCCTATCTGTGACAGGTGCACCTGGTATTTAGTCCCTATCTGTGACAGTTATACCTTGGCCCCTATCTGTGACAGGTGCACGTCGTTATGTTGCTACATGGTTGTACTTGATCTGTGACGGATAAAACCTATTACAACAATACTGATGATGCCACCCAAGTTCATGTACTTCCGTCTCTGAAACTCAGTGACCACACATGGAATTCACTAATTACATCGCCTTGACCTTAATTAGAAGCAAACGTCAGACCTATAAACGGAGCCCCTTTAACATTTACCCTCGTCCAAAGTATTGTCTTGTACCATTTCTCCAACGGTAAATATTGATTGGCAAATCGAAAGAACGATCAATAACACTGTCACTCTGGCTGTAATGAAGAATGAAACTATCGACCACAGCTAGATAGAGCAAACATGTTTACACGTTAGAGATGACCATAATGAACTCAAATTGTAGCTTTAGATGCCACTGCCCCATCATACAACAATCTGGACCAAAACATCAAAGACTCCTAATCACACCTTTGATGTATGGGAAAATATCGGTGAGTCCAGGTATAAACCGGATCGTTTAATCGGGACCAACCGTGTTGATAAAATATGACGCTCGACACGCCACAATGAACAGACACGTCACTAAGCAAATAAACAAAAACATGTACGACATGGGGAATAACATTTTTAATGCAGATAAAAAAAAAATTCAAATTTAATGCCAAGAACATTCTAAAGAAATGGAACCATAGATATGTTGAACTGGTTATAAAATATTATTGATTTTGCTTCGCCCCAGTTGGTCTAATGAGTTCCGTCGTAATATCATGACAGGGCTTTGGTGAAATATTCATAAGGTTGATTTTACTCGTACGAAGTCCCTTGGTGTATCACTCGCGTATCACTTGTATAATTTATGATATAATACTCAGGCCAAATATATTTGTTATCTGTTTCAGTGGTATGAGAGAGGGACACGGTAGGATAGCGAGATTATAATGACCAGCTTTTTCAGTGAAAAAGGGCTATATATTCGAACATCAGTACAGACTGGCCATTTGATATAGTGAGAATATGTGATGGGAAAAATGTTTCACTTTTTTAACGCGGCATTCAGCAATATTCCAGCTATATGTGGCAGCGGTCTGTCAATAAACGAGTCGGGACCAGACAATCCAGTGATCAACATCAAGAGCATCGATCGCAATTGGAATACGATGACGTCAACCAAGTCAGCGAGCCGGGCCACCCGATCCCGTTAGTCGCATCTTACGACGTAAGATGCGACTAACAGGATTGGGTGGTACAGCGTCCTAAGAGGCGACTAACGGGATCGAGTGGTCAGGCTCGCTGACTTGGTTGGCACATGTCACCGTATCCCAATTGCGCAGATCGATGCTCATCGATTATTTACAGACCGCCGCCATATATTTAGCTGGAATAATTCTGAGTGCGGCGTACAATTAAAGTCAGTCAGTCTTGAAGGAATTGTCCGATTTTCTGAGGGAAACTAAACGTCCCTGGCATTAAAAGGTTTGGGTCTGAACATAATTACAAGATTTATCGAATATACGGTTATG